TGTACGTTTGTCAAATTATACATGTACTACCTTTTTTTGTTTTTTTAATGCTATCTGCCAATTACCACCGCCCAATGCTTTTCAACAAATTTCTTCTCTGCTCGGTAGGAGAGCATGAACAGGTGCTCAGGGAGGGTATTGACAAAGGTTTAACACTTTGACGTAAAACATTACCCAGGGATTTCAACCCTCAGGTAGGAGAGCATGAATAGGTGCTCAGGGAGGGTATTGACAAAGGTTTAACACTTTGACGTAAAACATTACCCAGGGTTTCCAACCCTCAAAACAAATCAACTGTTATGAATGAATAATGTCACTTTAAATATAACTGCTACTGTAAAATCTCAGGACCATACATTCCATAAGAGTTACATAGAAAACAATAATCATACTTTAGTTACTGTTTGTATGTCTCTGCAGCTCTGTTGCTATGAAAACAAACACCATATCACTCACTTTTATACAAATGATTCCAATGATTGATTTTCATTTTAATTTAACAAAACTATCCACCATAGCTTTTATAAAGTAATTCAGTTGGTTAAACTGATTGTATTTCATACAACACAGAAAATGTCTTAGTTTTTGAATGAGCCCAGACTGTGAGTGAAAAACTTATTTTAAGTGATTCACATTTTTTCCTTTATCGTAAAATAAAATGATTATCATGTGAACGGTAATTATTATTTGTTTTTTGTCAAGGCATGGGCGGGCAGGCAAGGTTTTGTTTTTTTCTATTTTCACTTCTATATTATAGGCTGCCTGGGTTAATTGGTTTACATTCTTGTAATTACTATGGAAATTGGTTGATTAAATGATTTACATGACGTATTACTTTATTATCCCCTTGTATTTCTTGCATACTTCTGCTTGATTGTTGCATTGTGGCAACTGGTATTGGATATTGTAGCAATAAAACAGTCATCATCACTTCTGGGACTAAACATCCCTTCTCTTTGCTTTTTTAGCTTCCCTCAGCTGGAAAGTTTTGACATCTGCTGGTTTGGGACATTGCTGAGCAGCTGTCAGTGGTAGGGTAGCTGCTTTCCGCAGCAGTTGGTGCAATGGCAGGGTGCCAGCTTATACCATCTGTGTGCCTGACATTTCCTTCTAATTAACAGTAGGGTTAATTGTTCTGGCAGGCTCAAATGTAGTGTCTAACATTACCCAAGGGAAGCATGTACAAGTACAGGAGTGGCAGGGAACTGGGGAGAGCATTCTTAACAAACCTATCTAGCAAAAAAAACAAAAACGCTAACAGCCACTGATGTTTTTACTAGCTAGGTGCTTAGAAGAAGGTGAAAAAAAGGCTGATGTATTTAAATTTTTTTATTTTTTTGCTTTTCTTTATGAATTATGCCAAGCCTTTAATGATGTCGAAAGAATCAAGCTAAGAAAGGCTGAGACTGCTGCCTTGGGCAATTGTGAGAGAATAATTTGCATGTTATTACTGCATTTTCATACCTAATTGTGTTAGCCTTTGCTAATAGAGCAGGGTGACAACATGAATAATCATGCAAATGCTCTGTAGATTGAAAATGAAACTTACCACTGTATGCAATTTGTGTCCTGTGTGATCACTCTGACACTTTCAAGATTGATTTACATTTTGTACTTTTACAATTATTCATACATGTACATGTTTAGGTATTTTAAATATTTTACACATACATTATAAATATATTTGCTTCATGCTGCTAGATACATACCTGCCTTCAGGAAATGTAAATTGTTTAATATCCTGTGTTTTAATATAGATATAATTGCAAATAAATCTTTTTTTTTATTCTTTTTAATGTAAAAATTATGATTTGTAATTTCTGAAATTTATTCTGAAAAATATATGTAGCTTTAATTTTCGGCAAATAACAAAACAGAATTTATGGTGTGCCAACTTGTTATTAGGTTTTGATGCTTAAAACCTATTTAAAAAAATAAAAGAAGAAGAAAAAACAAAGAACACATTTAATTAGAAATCAGTATGTGCTAGAGCATTTTCTAGCCACAGGTTACCAGTAACAATGTTCTTTATAATGCTATACAAGTTGTTGCTTTCATATCTGTCACAGATCAAGTATTCTCCTGGGAGATTAAGTAAGTGTACACAGGATCTGCACAAATCATATGTCAAGAGGAGGGTAATTAACAACCCTTTCCCCAAACCACCCGTTGAGGGAGATCATTATATACCACCCATCGCTTCTCAACACACAGACCCTGAATAGGGACCTGGTAACAATACTAAGAACATTCAATGCATTCAACAGGGTTTCATATTCGCGTCATAGTTGCTTTTGCTATAGAAATTACAAGAAGAAAGTTGTCTCTGGAACCCGTTGCCAAAGTTTTGAAATGCTTGTGACAATTTGTACATGGGACATCATATTCATATGTTTATTTTGATCATCTTTTGATTTTTGAGTAGAAAAAAAAAAGGAAGTCAGTATAGAAATGTCTTTCAGATGAGATTACATTTGTATATTAAGCTTAGGGTCTGGAGAAATTTCCATCCCAAGAGATAAATCTGTGAGCTGTTTCGCAAAACCTCTAGGTTTAATAGCCTTCTTTTTGTTTTTTGATGAGGTGACTTTTAAATTTTTTGATGAGGTGCTTGGAATTTCATATAATCATACAAACTTTTTAAATTCTTAAGTGTATCCTGCTCCTAAACATTTGTAAGACCTTTTTCTTAAAAGTAAAAATACATTGTAAACGCACATAATTCCTTGGGAATCAAAAATACTATTCCACAAACCCCTATTTAATACTATAGAACATGATTTCAAATGTATCTCCTCTAGAAAAGGGTCAAACTAGTGTATACCAGGAAGGTGATAGGGATATATTATGTTTCCAATTTTAAAACAGAGATTTATAAATGATCTAATGGTAAATCAAACCTGTTCAAATAACCCTGCATTTTTCCTATTCACACCATCAATGCTCACAGCATAATTTATCATTAAAAAGTTGTTGTTTTTTTCCATGCTATTAAAGGCCCACGTAGTACCAGTTTTAATTTAACTACAAGATTATCCAAAAGTTTGATTGACCTCAACACCTGGATACCATAGGTATGATTTTTGGACAAATGTTAGTGTGAACTTAAAGGGACACTCTAGGCACCCACAACACTTCTGCCCATTGGAGTGGTCTGGGTGCCAACTCCCATCACCCTTAACCCTGCAAGTGTAATTATTGCAGTTTTTATAAACTGCAATAATAACCTAGCAGGGTTAAGTCCTCCTCTATCAGACAGCCACTAGAGGGCACGAAAAGTGTTTTAAACAACGCTGGACGTCCTCACGCTATGCATGAGGACCTCCAGCGTTGCCGGAATCCCCATAAGAAAGCATTGAATAATGTTTTCCTATGGGGAGGTCTAATGCGCGTGTGCGGCCATTGCCATGCATGCGCATTCGGTCTCCGCCGTTGGCTGACGGCGGGGGGGGGGAACGTGGGCGTAGCCTGACCCTGCGCCGAGGGACATTAGCGCTGGATTCAGGTAAGGCATCGAAGGGGTTTTAAACCCTTCAGCAACATGGTATGGGGGATGGGAGGGAGAGGGGCACTGCAGGATTGTTTTCCTGGCACTGGAGAGTCCCTTTAAAGGAAACCTATCGGCCTAAATATATCAATCATTATTTCAGGACTATATGCTCCCTTTTAGCAATGTGCACACTGCCTCTCTCCACCCCCCTTTATCCTGTAAATATTAAGTTAAATAAATATTACTCACCTTGTTTCAAGCTGCAGACTCCATGCTGACACCACCCACAATCTAGTCCAGTGCACAGGACGCTTTGGATTGGAGAATGCATGCATGATATGCCACGCTCCTCCAATCAAATGCTGTGATCAGTTTTACTTGATTTTGGAGATGGAAGTGCCACTAGAGACTTACTTAACCACTTAATATAAACAATGCCGTTTTTACAAAACAGGGATCCTCTTCATCTGATCATCACTTATGATCTTGCAGTGGGTGTAGAGGCTGCTACCGTGAGACATGAATGGTCCTGAGTTAAGACTTAATTTGTTTTGTTTTTAACATTACCAAAGGGGAGAAGCACTAATAGTTAAAGGTTATATTTATTTATATCATTACAGTGCTCCTTTATTTCTACAAAGGCTCTATAACAATGTCTGGGTTAGTGGAATAATTTAATACTCTACTACCATATTCAAACTCTAACCCAAAACAGTTTTATATGCACCAAATGCACAGCAATCTTGGATGTCCCATCTGGAATCTGTTGAAGTGACTCCCCCAACTAGTCACAAACCCGAGTGCTTCCATCACAACTGGAACTACTACTGCCTTCACTTTCCACATCCTTTCTAGCCCTTATTTCAGTCCTTGGTATTTGCCCATCTTCTCATGTTCCTTCTTCCTGATGTTATGGTCATTGGGCATTGCCACATCCACCATGACTGCAGACTTCCGTTCCTTGTATATATATCCTTTTTTTTTCTTTCAATTTATAGTTGTTTAGTTCCACCCTGTACTATGAACTCGTTATAGTGTGCATTGTATTGTATTGTATGAACCAACAAAACCAGATGCCCTAAATGACAAAAAAAGCATAAAGGTACTACATTGCACATTTTTTAATATTTCTTAATGGGTTTAGCATGTTTGAATGTTTGGGATATTTTAATATTTTGAGAAAAAATAATGTACTCCTTTTCATGTTTTCCATTAAAACCTGTATATATTCAGAGTGTATATATCTAAGTACTGGTTAAACAATATTGTTTTGGAGAAATGATAGATGTCTTCCACAAGTCAAACTTCAGAAACTCAATATTTGATAGTTTCTTTAGAGAGAAAGAAAACAACTTTTTGTTCCCTTATATTTGATTTGTTCTAAAATATTTTCTCTTCACTTCTAAGATGAAACTAAATGACACAATGAAACACAGTGCAGATGATATGAAAGATCAGCTGGAGGCGAAAGATCAGAAGATTTTTTCCCTTCAGGAAGATCTCCGGAAGGCTGCAAATGAGGAGGAAGCACTGTTGGAAAAGGTATGGGTAAAACCAATTTTGATCATTTTAATTGCTATTGTTGCATTAGTTACATCACATGCTAGCGTATTTGAAATATAATATAAAATTAGAACTCTAGAGATTATGAGACTATACTAATATTCATTATAAAACAGTTCTGATTCACCCATTTTTAAGGTAAAGTAAATATGTATGCACAGTCTGGAGCTGCTCCAAGCACTATTAGTGAGCAGACTGATCCAAAATAAGTGTAAGTACATTACAGAAAGTAGAAGATTCATGCACAGAATTGCATATTTTAGACAGGAAAAATAGGTAAGAAATGTCCTGCACTGCAAGCCAATAAAAGGTAACTCATAAGTAGGCTTAAAATTCTCAATTTCTTTTTATTCCAGTGAAAGTAGTGTCAGAGTGATTCATACATAATGAAGCATACGAGAACAGCCATACAATCTTATGCGTTTCACCTCAATGGCTTAGACATAGATTCGTATTTTAATAACACACAATGCAAATAAATCTTATGGGGTTCGGGGAATAGACTTCCTAAAGTTCTAGTACATTGCCAGTATGATATGACAGATAATTAGCTGAAGAGACAATTAACATGCCCCTAAGAAGATATGTCAACTAAAATCTGTATTCACAGTTTGTAATTAATTAATACACGTTCTACCCATGAGCATTGAAAGCTTTAATACCTATGTCAAGAATTTTTTCAGTTTTTTTTTTTTACTTTGATGTAATGTAGAGAATTTTCTATTTCTGTCTTTCTCTTTAAATCCATGCAGTTGCAGTCAATCATAGATTAATAAATGAACTATAAACTAAACAGACCACCGAAATGCTGCCAGAAGAGTAAATCTAGCTGGCTAGTTCTAGCCAATATCTTAACATTTAGTGATGAGTACATAAAGTGCGTGTACATGAAGTGGATATCTATCTATCTATCTATCTATCTATCTATCAATCTATCCCATTATCAAAACTTAAATGAAAATGTTTAATTGTACAAACACTGATGAATAAATATTTGCAATAAATAATAAATAGTGACAGGATTATCATTTAAATTGGTTCAGACACAAATAAAGAAAATATATTGTTGTGTTGGTAGAATAGTGATCTTTATTTAATTGCATTTATTCAAGTCAGGTACTATAGGAAGGTGTTCTGCATCTGAGTTTGTGAGTTTGTAAGTTTATAAGAAGGTGGCTTTAATTCCCATTGGACATGCATGATTGAAAGAAATAGATATGCATACTTTACAATGTACCAAGTTGAATTTCAGTTTAGGCATTGTTCACATGGTGTCATTTGTCACAATGATATAATCTCTGTGACAAATTACACCAAGTAGTGTGAACGGGGACATATGGACCCATTCAAAGGACGTAACAACTGTTTCATCAGTCAGTCTGCTGCATATTCTTTTGTTGTGGTGGTGTTCTTATGAGATCAGCCAAGATAAACCAAAGAGGTCAACCAATAACTTCCTCACTGAGAGCACAGTTACTTGGTTACAAAACACGACAAATATCAACAGGTGCACCCCTACAACATGCTCCAAATGGTAAACAAAAAAAGTTCACCATATATATAAAATCTAACAAAAGGTGATAAGCAATTACACTTAAGTGATATGAAGCACTAGAAGTGTGAAAACTCCATATAAAAATTCATATATATTTAGTTAATTAATGAGCAGAAATAGTCCTATGTTTGTTATGTTGCTCCAAAGCTATTTAGCATAAAATATTGAACAGCACTTAAACATTCCTTTCACCCAAACTACTGATATAAATTGTAGTGATTATGGTGATACAATTGTCCCTTTAAATGATTCATTTTCTCACTTAAACTCTTTCTTATTGGTTTATTTTGATTTAAAGCCCTGTAATCTACCCAGCCTATGTTTCAGGTTCCAGAAGTTATATATAATGATTGTATATATGAGTGATGTATATGAGACTTTGTAGCTGCTAGTGAGATCGGCAAGTTTAGTTGTGCAATTAAACTTTCTAAGATAGTCCTGTTTGCTCTTGGGTTAACCTATGAAATTACTCATAGTTTCGATTTGTTCACTATACTTGGACACATCCATCCTTTACCAGCTTAATTACTTGTAGCTGTGAATTATTCACAGCTCTAAGGTTCAAGTTTGTAACAAGTCATATGTCATCAATGTGATTCTGATTCATTGTCACGTTCAAAAGTAATAACTACATTTTATTTTTAGGTTAAAAATGTAAAATATAGAAAAAAAATATTCTTACAGTTTGAATTATTAGTTAAGCAGAGAGTTTGTTGTTGTTAATAAATGTATGCTATAAAGTCCATAAAACGAACGATAAGATTGTTTTTGATCCATGGCAGGACTGTGACAATGTTTGCAGCAGCTTTTAAAAAATAATAATGATAAAACACCTTCGGTGTTATATGTGCCCATAACTAACTGGGGTACTAGACTTTAACTTATTTTATTTTCTCAGTTATTGGTTTACCCTCAAAAAATATTAAGTGTTATATAAATTCAAAAAATCCTAATAAATTATAGTGTGATACAATTGCTTAAATATATTTAAATAAAATCTACAGCAGCTCTGAAACACTTGTGCAGAGGAACCGTTCTTCCCTCACCAAACAACAACTGATCTAAAATATATTATAAGTGACAACTTCTAAAAGTAGTGAAGCACTATAAAAAAAGGACTTTCTTACTCCTTATACAATGTAGATAGATGGGGATATCAGTACAGCACAATATGAAAAACAAACAAATAGAATATATAGTGTGTGAAAAGTGAGCCATATATGTAGGCTCCATTCCATGTGAGTGAATCCACAGTGTTGCTTTCTAATTCATAAATTCATTACCATCTACACTATATATTCTATTTGTTTTGTTATTCATGTGGTGGTGTACTGATATCCCCATCTATCTGCATTGTATAAGGTGTAAGGTATCCCTTTTTTTTTTTTTTAAAGCAATCAACTACCTTTATAAGTTTGTACTTATAATGTATTTTAGATTAAGTGCTATATATTTGACTAAATACGGCTATAAGAAGACAAATCCTGGATTAAACAACCGTTAAAATTTTAGTAAAGGTACACACAGAGCATCATCATCACTTTAGTATGTTGTAGTGGTTTAGCTGCACTGGCATCACCCTCCAATGTGTAGTAAACCATTGTCAAGCCTCCACTGCAGCTTCCTCTCTAGCTGCAACCTCTTTGTTTCAACCAGGCCCTCAAGTTTTCAGCCAATGAGCTAGCTGGAGAATTAATGGAAGCTCCCGAACAGGAGATTCTAGCTCTGCTGAAAGCTGCAGAAAGGTGGAGAGTACCACCCAGGTAATAAGTCAAAACTTTCTAAAATGGTTTGACTACTTACAGGAGGTGGGTCTGCCAGATAACTACTCGGACCATAACAACCTCAATGCACTACAGTGGTTATGGTATGTATTTTAGAGTGTTCTTTTGCTTCTTCTTCTGTTATATATGACTTCATGGTGTTCCATAAAGAAGATGAAAACAGCTTCCATGTAAATATAAATGCATATACTGTACTCTGTTTAGATCACTATTTATGGACTCTTCTTTAAAAAAACAACAACCAATAGTGACAAAAGCATTAATGCACTTTTACTTGTGCATACCTTTGGAATGTAATATCTATTTTTTTTTTAAATTCTTTATTTATTGTCAGACAGATACTATACCAATACATTAACATTGCGATAATAGGTTTCGCAGAAGCCTGGTGTACAAGCTTATATATTTTTCGTCTGTCAGTTTTTTTGAAACTTTAGCGGTGTAACATAACATACATAAGTAAGTGAACAACGTTAAAATTGCAACAAGATGTGTATAATGATGGGTACAATTGAGGTTTTGTGAGGTGTGATTCGTTTGTCCGTGGTGTTTTTGCTATTTAATGGAGTTAGTCATGGTCTGCGTTAATCTGGCCTTGTAAGAGAGTGAGCTGTCAGCTCCCTCAGGGGTGTGGGAACCCATTGGTCATTTGGTGGTGGGGATGAGCATCCACTCCCTGCCCTTCAGCTCCAAGATGGAGTTGGTCGTCATATTGTTCCCATGGTGCCCATACCCGGTTAAAGGCTGCCATAGTGTTTCAGACCTGTCATTTTGTCCATTAAATAATTGTCTCTGAACTTGGTCATTACCTGAGATAGAGGTGGTGTCTCCAGCTGTAGCCATTATTGAGCTAAGGCTCTACGGGCCGCTAGATATAACATGTTTAGTAGTCTCTGTTCATACCTGTCTAGTCTGTCTGTAGGTCGGGAGAGGAGACAAGCCCAGGGGTCGGGCATGAGTCTTCTGTGCAAGAGACGAGAGCCTACGGTCACCACCTCCCTCCAGTATATGGTAACCTTTGGGCAGTGCCACCACATGTGAATGTACGTGCCTTTTTCCCCGCATATACGCCAGCAGGTGTCTGTGGGGCTGATTTGCATCTGGCATAGCTTGACAGGGGTTGCATACCACCTAAATAGTGTTTTGTATGCTTGTTCCTGTAGGGAGGTGCAGATGGATGTTTTTGTGCATGCTTCCCAAATATCTTGCCAATCTATCCCCTCTAATGTGTCCCCCAAGTCTGCCTCCCACCTGTCTGTGTACGTTATCGTTCCCCATGTTCTGGACTCTGTACAGATGTTACTATAGAGTAGCGAGATGAGTTTCGTTGGCATGGTTTCTTTAAAGCATATGTGTTCGAAGAATGTTAATTTCTTGGTTGTCACAGCTCTAACCATGGCGGTTTGTGCGAAGTCCCTGATCTGAATGTAGCGGAAAAAATCCCTGGTTTGCAGTGGAGCAAGGGATTTTAAGTGGTCGTATGTCACTAATTGCTTGTCGATGTATAGCGTTGTAGCCCTGTGGTTTCTATGCCTTCAAAGTCTTGTGTCCTGAGTCCTGGTGGGAATGCTCTATTCCTGAATATTGGAGTCATAGGGCTTGGGGTGTTCGTGAGTTTATATTTCTGTGCTACCTGGTCCCAGGTAATGGAGGCTAATGGAGTTGAGTATAGCTGGGCAGGTGGTTCTAACTATCGTCCTGTGTTCTTTGGGCGTCCATATTAAAAATTGAGGCAGGTCCGTGCCAGTCATTAGGGATTCTATGTCTACCCATCTGCGTTGATCTATTGGGCAGTGCCAGTGTGCTATTTGTGCTATTTGGGCTATTTGTGCTGCTATGTAGTAGTTGTGCAAGTAGGCCTCCCCGTGATTTAGGGTTGTATAGTATGGCTCGGGCTATTCTAGGTCTTTTTCTCTGCCATATGAAGGCGTCTATAGCCTTCTGGATATCTGCTAGATCTCTTCTGGTGACCCTGATCGGTAGTGCTTGAAAGAGGAATAAGAGTCTGGGCATGACGTTCATTTTAACTGAATGTAGGTGACCTAGCCATGTGATGGGTTTGTCTGTCCATTTGTCTAAGTCGTTTTTTTATAGTGTGCAGGAGGGGTGTGTAGTTGTGCTTGTATAGTGCAGTAGGGTCAGCTGTAAGTTGTATTCCCAGATATGTGAGTGATTCATGGTTTATTCTAAGATAGTGTTTGTGTCTGATGTATGTTGCATCTTGTTCCTGCAGGTGGAACGGCATGAATTGTTTAGTCCTTATCTGTATGCCCTGTATTAGCGGGTCTGTTCTAATGGATTGTAGTAAGGGTTCCAGAACTAGCACAAACAGTAGTGGAGATAGGGGGCACCCCTGTCATGTCCCATTTCTCACTGGGAAGGGGGTCCTGGGGACACCAGGTATGATTGTTTGTGCTTGGAGGTCTGTATATAGGGCCTTAATCACAATAATGAATGTGTCTGGGAAGTCTTGTGATTCTAGTAGGTGAAATAGGAATAGCCATTAGACTCTGTCAAAAGCCTTTTCGGCATCTAGGGAGAGGGCAAGGGAGTGTTATGGGCAAATACAAATATTACAAGTTTTAGAATGAAATGTTGTATTTCTTAAACTGTGTACTTTGTCTTTAAGAGATATTGGAAACTGACAAGGTGTTAGAAATTGAACATATTGTTTTTCATAGATGTTTCTTTAAGCAATAACCTCAGTGCATATTATGTTTGCGCCATTTTGTCCCAGACGAATTACAATAACAATAATGCATAAACAAGCTTCAAGTCTATCCTACTACTCTTTCAGTACGTATTATACTGTAGTAACCTTAGTAGATAAGGATGTTCAGACTTTAAGATGCTATCTTGAACTAAGTCAGGAAAATTTCCATGATGTATGCACCCTTTAGTAATGGCCTTGTATGTTTGCCAAATTAAGGGAGGTCCTAAAATGAATAAAGTAAATCTGGATGTACTAGTTTGGGCAAGAGAGGTGTTAGTCGTATAGATAAGATTTTTGTGAATATTTTTAAGTCCGAGTTGATTAGGGAGATTGGTCTGTAGTTCGTGGCTAGGGTAGAATCTTTATTTGGTTTAGGTAGTAGCACTACATTGGCGGTAGCCATGTTTCGGTCTGGGGTCCCTCCCTGGAGGAAGTGGTTATATAATTTAGTGAGGGGGGTATTAAGTCATCTTTTAATTTTTTGTAATAGCTAATGTCGTAGCTGTCGGGTTCCGGGTGCGTAGAAATTGCCGCCACTTCCTCTTGTGCTATAGGCACCTGTAGAGCCTCTGCCTCTTCTGATGTTATCTTTGGCAGGTCTGTGTGTGCCAAGAAGTCTGTAATACGTGTCAGGAATTGGGCATGTGCTAGTTTGTCTTGTGGGGTATGGTCGTATAGTCCGCGAAAGTATTCTGTGAATGCTAGGTTGATTTCTCTTGGTTTGTTAACTACTACATTAGAGGAGTTACAGAGTGTAGTGATGGGTTTGGATTCTTGTCCAGGCCTGAGCGTTCGGGCTAATAGTGTCCATCTTATTGTCTTTCTCGTAAAAGAGGCGCCGGGATCATAGAATAGAGTGTGCTACGTCTGCTATGGATAGTTCTCTGATAGAATGTCTTAGTGCTTGGAGTTCGTTAAATTTAGCTGTGGTGGAGTTATGTTTGTGTTGGTGTTCTGTTCTCCGCAGTGCAGTTTGGAGTTCCAAGAGGCGCTTTGTTTTTGTTTTTTTGGTGTGGGTGGCTGCTCAGATGAAGTGGCCTCTCAGGACTGATTTGTGGGCCGCCCATATGATTGTCGGGTTTATGTCGCCTGTATCATTGTTGCTAAAATAGTCTGTGATTGTTGCCCGGGTGGCGAGGAATATCTCCTCATCATTGAGCAGGTTAGTATTGAGTTTCCAAGTCCAGTTTGAATGATAGTGTAGATTCCCCAGTGTGACCGATATGTCGGCATGGTCAGACCATGTGATGCTGTTGATCTCTGAGTGTATGAGTTTGGTCATGCCTGCTCCATTGAGGAGAATGTTATCGATTCTAGAGTACGTGTTGTGTGGTGCGGAGTAGTATGAATAGTCCCTGGTGTGTGGGTGTTGTAGCCTCCACGCGTCGAGTAAGCCTGTGTGTTGGAGAAAGGTGTGCATTAATTTATCTTGAACCCCTCTGCCCTGTGAGCGTTGTGTTCCTGGTTTAGAGCTTCTGTCAAGCGTCGGGCAAGGGACTGCGTTGAAGTCCCCACCTACTATTAGCATGCCTCCTTGGAGAGTGGCTATCAGGGTTTCCATGGAGCTTCAGAAAGCTTGATCTGGTTCATTGGGGGCGAAAATGATAACTACGTGTATTGTCATGACGTGTATAGTACCAGAGATGGCAAGATATCTGCCTTCGGGGTCAGTTTGTTGGTGTGTCAGTATGAATGGGCAGGATTTGTGGATCAATATGGCGTTTTTCCTTATTGCTCTAGCCTCATACGTCGTGGTGTATATGCTGTCCTTCAGTCTGACTGGTGTTGTTCTGTGTAGGTGTGTCTCCTGAATGAGTCTTTTTTGATTTCAGTTCTCTTAGTAGTAGTCTGCGTTTTTGGGGTGTGTTCAGACCCCTGGAATTTATGGATAGGACTTTAAGCGTCATGGTGGTGACGTTGTAGTGGCCATTGTAGGCTGTGGGACCCTCTGTCAAGGTCTGTCTTAGGTCGGGCAGGCTCCCTCCCTGGTTTTGACATGGTGTCTTGCGCAGGTCCAAGAGCGACAGTCTCATTTGTACACATGTTAAACATTAAAACAACATAACTATTTACATAATAAAGAAAAACATTCCAGTGTAAATACAGTCTGGTCTTATTATGCCAGAGTGAATTGGGGGCGGTTTCTCTCCCCGCAGATGATACTAATATGTCTCCAGTAGGGTCGAGTGAGTCCACCGTGCCACAATGCGAGAGATTCATATATAACGTATTGTCTTCCACATCGTATATAACAGTTTATGCACTTAGTTTAGTTTGTTGCGTGCCTAGATGGTAATGTCAGAGTTTCATTTGTCCTCCTCCGTATTCCCAGTTATTATGAGGGGGGTATGGGAGTTTAAGGTGGGACTGCGGCCTCCCCCTGAGGTTGGGGTTACGCTGTTGAAGTTACCCTTTGTATTTTTTCAGTTTTCCACGGGTTGTGTGGTGTTGCCATTATTGTTGGGGTCCTAGGGGCAAAAGCTGTGGGTGAGTGTAGGTCCACGGTTGGTAGTGGGAAGGGTGAGTGAGGAGCCCTGGGTTTCCTGGTCGGGTGGTTTAGAGCGTTGTATCCCGGGGATACCCATATTGTGTTTGCTTAGCCTTGTTCCCAGTGTGAGAGGGTCCGTGTCTTGGGCAGAGAGAGAGATCCAGGCCACACATCAACCTCTATGTGGCATGAGGAGTTGGGTAGTGTGTGCAGGCATGTGTGATCCCTGTCCCTAGTGTGTGTGGGGGGGAGGAGGTTATCCCCTAGCCAACCCACCCCCGCAATAGCCAGAGTCCCCCCCAGGCCTGGTAGTGTGGCCAGTCCCCAAGTTCGTGTGGAGGGTACCTTTTAGCCAGTCCGGTGAGGTAAGTGTCAGGCACTGCGGGAACAGGGAGGGCATTTATGTGTGTCGGTCAGCCGTTTCGCCAGCCATCAGCCAGTCCCGGGGGAGTGATCAGAGCTCTGGCAAGTTGTCTTGTGGTAGGGAGAAGCCTGGTGGGGGGTCTAAGCGGAGGCCACGGAGAAATTTTAAGGCATCAGTCCCGGGCAGGAGGGTGTGTGTTGCGCCTGACCTGATCGCCACTAGCTTAAATGGGTGCCCCCACGTATACCGGATCTCTTGGTCCTGCAGCAGCGAGGTTAACGGCTTCCAGGCTCGATGGCGCTACAGTGTAGTAGGTGATAGATCTTGGAATAGGGTGATGTTGGCGGATTAATAGGTAAGGTCATGCTGTCTGGCGTATCTCATCACTGCTTCTTTTGTTGTATAGAAGTGGATGATGATATCCCTGAGCGCCGTCCCTTCAGTTCTGCGGGCCCGGAGCACCCTGTGTGCTCGGTCGATCGTCCATTTTTCTTCTAGTATTTCTAGCAGGAGGTGCTTAAAGTAGTATTCTATCTTTTCAATGAGTGCCCCCTCATTAGGTGTTTCTGGGAGGCCTCTAAGCCGGATATTGTTGCGCCTTGAGCGGTTCGCTAGGTCCTCGACCAGTCGTTCCAGCTTGGTTATATTCTGCACTGCGGCTCTGGTATGGGTCACTGCTGTATTGTGGGCCTGTGCAACTTGTTCCATCCTCTCCTCCAGTACCGTGGTAGGGGCGCCCAGCATCTGAATTTCCGATTTGACCTCTTGTGTGCTCTTAGAGATTTCTCCTGCAAGATAATTATGGATCTCTAGTAGTTTATTGAGGATGTGCGTGGTGTCATCTTGTGCAGGCTGATCGCTGCCCTCCACAGATGCTCGGGAGAGGGGGCTGTGTGAGTCGCGCTGGCGGCCATCTTGCACGGCCTGCGAGCCGCGTGGTGTGGTAAGCATGTCAATGACGGATGTGGAGGCTTCTCTCTTTTCTCCTTTCTTTTCGCGGTTGCTTAGCTCCGGTTTGCGTACTGTGCATTGTGTGTGCTAGGGTGCTGGGTTATGAGTCTCGATGCCTGTAGTAGGTGCTGGATTGTCGGTGTATTTAGCGGAGCTCTTAGACTACGCGGCCATTTCGGTCATCAGTCAGACCACGCCCCCCCCCCCCATGTAATATCTATTGTACGGAACAAATATGCAGACATTAGTACTGGTCATTCTTCTGCTTAACATCTTAAGGACACATGACGTGTGACATGTCATGATTCCCTTTTATTCCAGAAGTTTGGTCCTTAAGGGGTTAAAATGTAATTTCATTATTTTGTAGAACCGTGTTTGCTTACTTTAGGCTCTGTCTCAGTATTGTTTCAATCTGTAACATCTTGTCATTTAATTTTAAAGTTCTAAGTAATATATAAAAAAAAGAACCGGACTGCACATATGTGCAGTTATTCATTTTAGTTAGATTATTTATTTTAAATCCTGAGATTTGCATAACTTACTCTACATATTTTTGTTATGAGGGACTATGCTGCTAATGATTTGGGGGATTGTAGTTCAATTTCCTCTTGCTATGCCTACTGGAAAAAAAATGTTTAGTGAATAAGGCAGTGTATGGGTAACATATGAGTGTAATGCTTGAGCAATTTCCTTCGTCTGTGGATTGCATATCCCCTTCCAGCTGTGTAAAAAGCAATGAAACAGGTCAGACTTCAAATATTCTTTGAAAGTACAATTTGTTGTTTTGTAAGTTTCCAGTGGCACGTGAAAAATGTTTTTTTTTTAAATTAAATTTGCATGGTTTGGGGACATAAATATTTTATTTTAAATTTGCTGTTAATGCATACCTTTTAATTTTATTTTTTGAGACCATTATATTAAGTTTCTGGCTTTAATATACTATTTTTTTTTTCTTACCACATCCTACAGATGTAATGACTAACAGTTGATTCTCCTGCAGTTATTGACTACAATGCCCATGATGCTTTGCCTCACATGAAACAAATGGGTTGATTCCCTAGATTCCAGTGATAAAAAAGTGACAAGGTTAAACCAAACAGCCTTTTGTTAGCTGGTGCATCACAAAAAAGTTTAAATTTATACTTTCAGTGCCACTATTAGAGCAATTTTCTTCTGCCCTTGTTTAAATGGCAAAATGCACTTTACAACTGAAAAACAAAATACACAGAGTCAATAGGTCCACAGCATTTAACATGACAGACCTATTTAGATATCGTAACCTCATCAGCTATGTGGCAACAGGGTATTTAAAAAAACAAAACAAAAAAAACATAAGTGATTTTGGGGTCCTGTCATCCAGTAATAATTAAGTGGGATGTCAAATGACCCCCTCTTCCTCCTCTCCTTTGCGGAGGCAAAGAGAATACTAAACTGAGAAGAGGCCTGTAAAACAAACTTTACCCCTTCAAACACCCATGTGAGGAACAGAAGGACATCATATTATTAGGTGAATGCCTCCTATCTGACTACTGGAGTGGAGTGTATAGTGATAGGGCTAAGTAGTTCCTAAGAGGATGCCCAGTTCCTTGGTCCTAATATTCATAAAACACAGGATTTTTATTCTTCTGGTAAATTAAACAATCCTCACTTCACCCCGTCCCCCCCAAAAAAAAATTAGGCACCTGGAAAGCCCACTGCACAGGACATCATCTCATAACTAAAAATGCGCCTATCTATTCCACTATTGTAATAAAGCATAGTATGGTCGTTTATGCCAAAAAAGGTATATTTCCTGTTTTAATATTTTATTCTCTTTAGAGAAAAAAAAGCATAATTGGAAGGAGTGTGTGCTATTCACCAGCTCTTTTATGGTTTTTATACCCTCCAACCCTCCAAACACAGGGTGGAGGAAGTGACATGGGTTGCTTTAAAGATCCTTACTAAGTTTATTATTCCCTAAACAATCTTGTACTCTCAGCTCTCTCACAGTTATTGCTGATGTCTCTCAGATCACAGAAGTGTCTCGTTTGTTACTTTTTTAAATGTATCTAACTCTTAGTGTTATGGCTGTAAAATACTAGGATTCTTTCAGTCCAGAAACACTGTAAGTCAGTAGCGCAGTGGGTCATCAAACTGTAAAAAAAACAGAACTAAACCAAACCAGTCCTTCAGTCATGATATTTTAAAAGATTGAACATATTGTTTCATGCTTGTTTTTAGTTTGGGGGTGGTTTCCTGATACAGAAATTCCAGAGACCTGTCTTTGCAAAGTAGGAAAATAAATAAGATTCTAGGTCTCCAATATTCAGTATTTATAAAAAGCTTTTTAAAGACTCCAGGGTAGATTTCTTTCACCATTTTTATAGAATGCATACAATAAATAATGACTTTTTAAAAAAACCTACAAAAACTATTCATATTTTACAAGTTTATCCAGGATTTGCCTTCTCTGAACCAACAAGAGGCTTAGATACATTGATCAGGCCATATTCTAAATGGATCCAATTGGAGATGTACTTTTGTTTCCGCATATAAATAAATAAAAACTGCTCATACATTTGAGAGACAGCTTTTTATTATATTTTATATATATCTTATCTTGATTTTAACACCACTTCTACAAGCTCCCGGCAGCCCAAGAAATCCTAGGTGGGTATTATTCCACCAGTGCTGGCATCAAAGAGCAGTTGGCCTGCTCTGTACTTGTAAGTACATTTTCAATTAATTCCTATGAAACAATTTATACAAAGAGTACTATATGGTTGTTTCTGTTCTTTTTGAGTTTTGGATATCCCTGACGAAGAGATACTCACCATATATCCCATAAGCGGGCATTATACCGCTGTGTGCGCTTTACCCTAGAGCTGGACTGAAGCTCTTAAAAATTGTGAGATCTCTACCATTACTTGAATTTTATTTCATCTGAGCTATACATATTGCACTATCGACTGTTCTCTCTTTTTTATCTTTTATATTATACCTGAAGACTTTATTCCCGGATCCAAAGACGACAGAGAGGACATTTAGGTTGGATTTTTCTTTGAATATCTGTTACCACTATTGGAACTGGACATTGTTTATTTAATGTGGCGCAGCCCTCTTTTTATATTTTGTTTTTATCATTCATTTGAAAATGGCTAGACAAATACAGTAGTACTTTTTATATTAGAGCCCACGCGCTATTGACTTTTAAAAGAAAAGACATACTTCATTTTGCATTTAAATATTCAACTCAAATATCTAAGCTGCTGTTTCTAGAAAGTATAGACCATGTCTTTTTGTGCAAATCAAACAACATGGTAATGACTATTAATGAAAATATCTTTCTTGTATATTTCTTTTGATATATAGATTTTGCTTCCCAATATTGCTTCCTCTTAATTTAAAAATGCAAACTTCCTCTGTTTAAAAATGAAAACAACATGATTTAGGATGTTAGAATTCATCTACGCTGGTGTAAATTCTTTTATTTTTATTTTTTATTTTTTATTAAGAGTGTATAAAATCTTCTCTAATAAAAACCTATATTAAAAAAAATAAGGTTAAGACATTTGATACACTTTAAAACAAGTTTAATGTTTTTAGAACTTTATAATAATGATGTATCTCACCTACAAGTCAATGTTAATCAAGTCATCAAACTTCATTTGAGTTCAGCATGACCAAAGGATGAATATATTTATTTGTTTGTGGTGTTTAAAATTGGAATGCATTATATAATTTGGTTTCCCCATTCTTGTGGTGCTATGTACTGTTTTAAAGAGCACACATTTATTAAGCAATTGTTGTATTTGTTTTATTTTGTCTGGTTTAGCTGGCGACCAGACAATCAAAAATCAAAAAAGCGAAAAAAACAGTCAGGCAGATTCACATAAATATAGAGGGAAATTAGTTAGAAAACAAGTATTTACATAACCACTAAGCCTTGGAAGGTACAATCAGAATGCTGACACAAGAGGTAAAAAATTTAATTCTGCTCATTGCTTTGCATTGACAGTAGTTTGGATTTGTCACATTTTCCACTTCACATACTGCCTTTTTTAATATTACAAATCCATAGCTTATTTATTTCAGAAAAAGTTATATTTTTTAAGAATATCTTGAGAAATTGAGAAATTCCCCTAGTCTACCATAAAATAAGCACTGTGCAAAATGATTACTGTTATTAATTTTATTATTAACTTTTATTTGTAGATAATATTCTAAAGACTTGAATACAGATGTTTCCAATGCTTTGTGTCCTCAGACACCTCCCAAATTCGTAAAATAAGCTTCAGGGTGTTATTTTGCTTATTTGATTGAAAGATTATCAAGTTTTTGCCATTTTTTATTTAAATACTTTTATAAGGGATTTGGAAAAAAATTATTGTGTAAATAGTGTAAAAAAGTAGCAGTAACAAATTTATCAAGGGAATTCAATTTGGGGGAACAGACAAAGTTATTTAGATAAGTGAAATTATTATTTGATAATTTAGAGATTATATAAATATACTTCAAATAATCATTGTCATTTGCTGCCATTTTCAACGCACACTTATAAAGAATGTGTAGTTACATAGTTGCAGAGTATTCTAGCTTGAGAAAAAGAAGCTGAAGTCCATTGAGTTCAACCTTGAAATCCATTGTTTTATCCTGTTTATTCAAAAGAAGGCTAAAAAACCCAAACCCAATTGTAGCCACAAAAATCCAATTATGGATGGAAAAAAATCCTTCTCGACTCCTTAACAGCAGTCAGAAAATCTGATAAAACAACCTCTTTAGGTAGAGAATGCCACATCTTTATTGTTCTTACTGTAAAGAACCCTTTCCTCTGCTGTAGGTAAAAACGCCTTTCTTCCAGTCTCAATGGGTTACCTCTTGTCTGTTGAACCAAAACCCAAAAATAGTGTTGTACTCTTTGTCCAAGCCCTTTAATTGAGAAACGCCTCACACTTTATTGGGATTTACTGGGGTTTTCTCTGTTGTATATTCCTCTTGATGAACAGGTTAGCACATAGTAGTTTGACCCTGTAAGATAATTCAAATCCGTAGTCAACTAACTATTCCTTAAGACGCCGGATATAAGAGAGATTTTCACTCAAATTCAATTTAACATTCCAGTGAAGTTCATTTTGCTGGCTTATAGAAAAGGGGGCGGTTTACAAAGTCGTCCACTAATGTATATCCCTATATACTTAATTCCATGCGGTTAAATAAGATCTCTGTATAAAACATTGTTGATAGTTTCATTTTAATAGAAAAGGGAAGACTAGCTTAATAAAGTTGTAAAAAGTTATCTATTTTCTCCCAACCCTAATAAACCAGCTTTTTTTTTTACATGTATTGGTTGCATTTTATTATGCTACATTTTTTTATTTTTAAATTTTCAGTTTTAATTTTGAACTGTAATTACCATAGCAAAGTGCAATAATTATTGTGCATATTTAAATGGAATGTTCCCTTTCAGAAATGTTGCGGGAGGGAAAACAAAATCTAGGCAAATGTGATGTGTGAGTCCTATCTAGCTAATTTGTACATACTTACAATACAAACAAATATCCTAAATAATACAAGTTTGTTAAAACCAAGTTAAAATTGTCGATTGCTTACATGAAAGTGAGCGTGAACTCTTCACCATTACACGCTCTGTTGCTTAGAGAGAATGCATTCTTGGTGGTTGTGTGTGGTTGACAAGCTCTGGATACACTGTAGATATCAGAGTATTATGTAAAATGTTAATGAACGGAGAATACTAACTAGCTTTAATTTTTTGCTTCTGCTTTGTCATGTTTGACAACTGTGAGCTCTATTCTTTACACATAATTCCTGCTTCAGTGGTTTCCCTTGAAAACGTGCCAAGCACAAAAGAGAAGCCAATTGAATAAACTGCTCATTTTTAATAAGAAGCATAATTAAATATGCAAGTAATTAAATGGTATCATTAACCTTAGTATGCAGATAAGCTTCTTAAAAGCTTTTCCTGCTGCATTTAATCTACACATACATTAAGATCAAAGTCTCTCGTTGTTGATTTCTTGAGTAGGCTATGAAGTGGTTAGTGCTTCATAGAAGTGTTATTGGCCTTTAAAATACTGGTTTCCATCTGTCTTTATTTTTCATGTCGATTCAACGCATAATGCCTCTTGGAAGAACATATCTTATGAAGAAAATGCAGTAATAAAGTGAAATATCGCTTTCACATAAAATAAATCTTTTTTTTTTTTTTTCTTTCTTTTTTTCAAGTGCACTGCTGGGTGTCCCACATGTTAGAGTACCAGAATTAATAGGATACAGACTTTGGTTTTTTTAGTCCCACTGAGCTTCTTATTTCAGTAGAACTAGGTTTGATTACTGTTTGCTGGTGGAGATAAGATTTTTTTTATACATTATATGTTCTGTCCTTACGTTTCAAGTTTAGCATCATATTATATAATATTCAATCAACCATATATTTTCCTTAAACTTCTCAACATGAACAAGCATCACCCATACAAGTGTAATAACAACTACATAAATTAGATTTGTTATAACTACATCTCCCCATCTATTGCTTATAACCGTTCATAGCAGTTCACATTTATTTTTTATTTTTTAATTAGCACTAAATGCATCTTATCCGCATAAACTCATCTTGGTTAGTGTAATTTTTGAGATAAAATACTGGGAAGGAAGTGTTTAGGAGTTTTGAATAAGAAACATATCAGGAACACTAGTATTAGATCGATTTCTATTTTCAGCACCAGTTGATATCCTCTATCAAAGCAATGTTTTAAACTGTTGAATTATTATTCAGTGTTTGCAAGGTTGCAGGCCAAAATGGAATGGAAAATGTATCTAACTTGAAGCAATTTTCCAAATTTGTTATTTAGGCTAAAATGTGTATTTCTGAAAGTTTACATTTGTTAAAGAATAACACTGTTTACACTTTGTTTACAGAGTTATGGATTATGTTTAGACCGCAAGTTATAAACAAACATTACGATACAAGTTCTAAACATGTCCTAATACGTAAAGGTTAAAAAAATATAATTGATGCTCAGGAGATAAAATGTCCTCTAAGCCGACCTCCTTATGCTACAAACTTCTCCAAACCCAGACATACACACAGCTACCATACTTTACCAGATGATGGAGGGAACATTTAGACAAAGACCTAGAGGAAGGAGACTGGAAGAGCATATTTTCATGCACACTCTAGTGTTCCGCTACAGGACATTAACTATAAATTTGTCTCCAAGTGGTATACCACCCCGGTGGACATAAATAGGTTTGACACTAACACATCCCCCAACTGTTGGAGATGCGAGACAAAGGCACCTTCCACTACATATGGTGGACGTGTAGCGGAGTATCAGGCTTCTGGAAAGAAGTTTGGAATACCGTCAATTTAGTAACAGACATGACTATACCCTTTAACCCAGAGGCACTTCTCTTATACCACTTCAAAATACCACACCGAAAATTCAAACACTCCCTTATTTATGAAATTTTCGGTGTGTTATCTAAAGATTTAACACTTCCACAAGATGGAGGAATTGAGATGGGGGTCCTTAGACAAATACCATAGATAGATAAATGGCAGCCTTGGAAACACTTCCTGTAGGCGATCTAGGCTCAAGACCAAATCCGGACACTCTGACCCAACAGGTACATAAAGACATAAGAGATATGTGGGACAAGGAAAGGGGATAGGGGGGAAAGCGGGGACCGGTCCACAAGTCCACTCTCTCAACCCCAATGGCTAACTCACCATGCCTTAACAGGTTTGGGACAGAATGATTCCCAGAAAAAACTTTACATACGAGCTACAATAAAAACCCTTTTACACACGAGAAACAAGGGACATAAATTAATTATATACCTGAATAATTATGAGAAACACCATCATGACTTAGGCCATACTCAATTGTTACTGATAACGTGAAAACTCTATAGGATTGTGTACTGTTGCGATGTATAGTACTGTTTTTTTTTTTAATAACTTTTATTTCTACACTGATGTAATACAATGTTGACAATTTTGTATTACTGTACTATCGAAATGTGATGTGATATGCACAAAAAATAAAAAAACAATAAAAATAAAATATATATATATATATATATATATAATTTGTGTTTGAATACTGAGTTTAACTTGTGTTGTTGCTATTGGGTGGTACTCTCCTATACTACAGTAAACTAACAGTAATGTTTAGGATACTTTATATTGGGTTGTCATGGTCAGTCACTATAGCACATTGGCTAACTTTCCTTACCTTTCTTAAAGGAACACTATAGTCACCTAAACAACATTAGCTTAATGAAGCAGTTTTAGTGTATAGATCATGCTTCTCAGGTTTCATTGCTCAATTCACTGCCATTTAGAAGTTAAATCACTTTGTTGGGTTTTTTTTTGCAGCCCTTTTCACACCTCCCCTGGCTCTGATTGACACACCCTGCATGAAAAAAAAATGGTTTCACTTTCAATCAGATGTAATTTACCAAAACAATTATATCTCTTTCTCTGTAAATTGAACTTTAATCACATACAGGAGGCTCTTACAGGGTTTAGCAAGCTATTAACATAGCAGGGGATAAGAAAATCAAAATTAAACAGAACTTGCAATAAAGGATAAACTTTAGATGACTCTTTACAGAAAGTGTTTAGGAAGGCTGCGCAAGTCACATGCAGGAAGGTGTGACTAGGGTTCATAAACAAAGTGATTTAACTCCTAAATGGCAGAGAATTGAGCAGTGAGACTGCAGGGACATGATTTGTACACCAAAACGGCTTCATTAAAGGGACACTCCAGGCACCCAGACCACTTCTGCCCATTGTAGTGGTCTGGGTGCCAACTCCCACTACCCTTAACCCTGCAAGTGTAATTATTGCAGTTTTCATAAGCTGCAATAATTACCTTGCAGGGTTAACTCCTCCTTTAGTGGCTGTCGTGACATCAGCAACTTGGGGTGGGGTGTGGGAGGGAGAGGGGGACCTGCCGTGGCAGGAAAACAGTTTGTTTTCCTGGCACTGGAGAGTCCCTTTAAGCTAAAGTTGTTTTGGTGACTATAGTGTCCCTTTAATCTACCTTATGTCTTAACATTTTGCCTTATTTTCAAAAGTCAAGTATTTTTATAAATTGGCATGAAGCTAATTGTTTTCTGTCCTGGACATTAGACTTGTACATGTACATATGGTTTCAAGTAAGTTGGGATCCATCTGCATTTTTTGTGACCAGTGGTTATACCATATTCCCTAACTCAGAAATGCTGTATGGATGTATAATAAAACAAAATAGACAGTGGATAGATAGTGTTTTTTGTTGTTTTCATGATTTCTTTATCTGGTATGGGTGCCAAATAAAAAGACGATTGTTGGTTAGGGAACAGCCACTAAATCTTGGTTTTATTCGCATATCAAGTGAGAAGTGACCAACAAAAGGGAACAAAGAATGAGCAGTAAAAAAAAAATAAAACATTTAAAAAAATTCTGAATTTATATATTATATATTTAATGAATATTAATATATAAATATAGATATATTTTTTTTTACTGCTCCTTTTTTTTTCCCTTCTATTGGTTACTTCTTCTCACTTGATCTGTGAAACAAATGGCAGGAAAATTAGCCTAGCAGTGCACTGCAAAATCTATCTATTTAGAAACAACTGCATGGATAAAATTTGTCTGAGCAGACACATCACATGCATGAATTCTGAATCAACTAAACCAATTATTTTTTCACCCAAATTGGTTTGGCTGAACTGAATATTTCTGCCATAGTAATATGCGGTAAGGTGCAGCAATGCCCCAACTGCCTATTTGAAGGATGAACACACAGCCTCCCTGGTCCTTCTTTTCTCTCTCTACTCAGGGCTGGATTAAGAGCACAGTGGGCCTGGTGCTGACAATTATGATGGGCCTAATTACGGAATCGTATCCACCAAAAACACTAAAACAGTCATGTATCTGATGGAGATGGTGCTGGAGGGAAACTCATAGAATGCAGCTATACGAAAACACATACTCTATGCTAATCTTTCTCTAATTTATGCTTTCATCTTTCAAGTCAATCCATAACCCCTAACAGCAGTGTCCAGTGAAGCAGGAAGTCAATGGGTGGGGTAAAAGGGTGTGCCACTGGCGCGAATCACGTGACAAGACCTGCCAAAAGGGGGGCATGTTTGTCCAAAGAATTGGAAGGTCAGCCTGGCATGAATGCATGTCAGGCTGCCTGCCAATCCTGCAGGCTGTCCAACTAAGGGCATACTATGCAGGCAGCACCTTGAGCTTGACATAAATGCGTCTAATAATGCGCTCACTCCATGCTTTCTAAGGACTTTCCCCTAGCACTCACTGGTCCACTTGTCTCCTTACCTTCTTACTAGCAGGCAGAAGACCTTGGTATATAGTCTGAGACAGGGAAAAGGTGTATGCAGTGAGTGTAGTGTATGTAGTGAGTGTAGAAGAAAGGGGACATGCCACAGAGACCAACGTCTGCATTACCTAAACTAACTGTAATGTCAGCCAGTGCACACAAGTTTTGTTCCCATACATCCCTCTTAAGCTTCCAAACTTAAAGGGACACTATAGTCACCAGAACAACTACAGCTTATTGTATTTGTTCTGGTAAGTAGAAGCATTCCATTCAGGCTTTTTGCAGTAAACACTGTCTTTTCAGAGAAAATAACTCCATTGGCCGCTCCTTAGATGGCTGCTAGAGGTGCTTCCTGGGGCAGTACTGCCTAGTCTGCAGCACTGCCATTCAGTGTCTCCACCCTCTGCATGCAGACATTGAACTTTCCTCATAGAGATGCATTGATTCAATGTATCTTTATTAGGAGATGCTGATTGGCCAGGGCTATGTTGGACTTGTGCTGGCTCTGCCCCTGATCTGCCTAGTTGACAGACTCAGACAATCTTATGGGGAAGTATTGTAATTTGCTCAGACCACCACTTCTGAGCCAGCAGCTGCAGACTTGAATACAAGTAATATTTTACTATATTTAGGGAGGCAAGAAGAGGCCAGGGTGGTGGTTTTAACAGAATAGGGTCAGAAATACATGATTGTGTTACTGACCCTATAGTGCTCCTTTAAGCAAGAATATGTGAAGAGTAGTTAAGGTTGCCACCTTTCTTGGAAAAAAATACCAGCCTTAATCATTTGTATAATTAATTAGTTATGCGTGACATCACATGATGTAAATCACAAGGAGTGACAGCAGAGAAAATTCTGTAAAATCACCAACAAACTACTCACAGTTTGAGTCTGCTGTATAGATGCATTGCTCCCAGTGTCTCAGTCTCGCAAGTCACCCAGTGTCTCAGTGTCCCTATGTATCACAGTGTCAGTGTCCCCATGTCGCCTAGTCTCCCAGTGTCTGTGTACCCATTTCTCCCAGTGTCCCAATGTCTCAGTGTGTCCCCATGTCACTAGGATACTGGGGACACAGAGACATGGGGACACAGAGACATAGGGACACAGAGACATTTAGGGAAACTGGGAGAAATGGGGACACTGAGACACTAGGGACACAGACACTGGGAGACATGGGGACACTGAAACATTTGGGGACACTAAGACACTAGGGACACAGAGACATGGGAACAGACACTGGGAGACTAGGGGACACTGTGAGACTAGGGGACACTGGGAGACATGGGGGCAGTTGTGGACATAGACATGGGGACACTGGGACATATAGGGACACTGGGAGACATGGTGACACCAGGCACACTGAGACACTAGGAACACAGACACTGGAAGACATGGGGACACTGAAACATTTGGGGACCCTAAGACACTGACACAGAGACTAGGGGATACTGGGAGACTAGGGGACACTGGCTGGGAGACAGACATTTGGGGATACATGGGGACAGTTGTGGACATAGACATGGGGACACTGGGACACATGGGGACACTAGGCACACTGAGAGACATGGGATACAGACACTGGGAGACTTGGGGACACTGAGACACTAGGGACACTGGCTGGGGGACATGGGAACATCGTGTCTCCGTGTCCCAATGTCTCCCAATGTCCCTATGTCTCACAGCATCCCCATGTGTCCCAGTGTCCCCTAGTGTCTCAGTGTCCCCATGCTTTCCAGTGTCCCCAAGTGTCTCAGTGTCCCCATGTGTCTGTGTCCCCAGGTCTCCCAGTGTCTGTGTCCCCATGTGTCCTAGTGTCCCAGTGTCCCCTAGTGTCTGTGTCCCCTACTGTCTCAGTGTCCCCATATGTCCCCTAGTGTCTCAGTGTCCTCTAGTGTCCCGGTGTCTCCATGTTTTCCAGTGTCCCCAAGTGTCTCAGTGTTCCAAGGTCTCCTAGTGTCTGTGTCTTAGTGTCTCAGTGTCCCCTAGTGTCTGTGTCTCCATGTGTCCCCTAGTGTCTGTGTCCCCTAGTGTCTGTGTCGCCATATGTCCCCTAGTGTCTCAGTGTCCCTGCTGCCTTTCCCCCCATCCCTCACTTACCTGAGCTGTAGAGCTGCTGTCTGGACTCTATGCTGTGTAGCTGCTCCCCCACAGATCAGTGAGTAGTAGAGAGGGGCAGGGATATTCTGTAACTTCCTATACCTGCCTCTCTCCACACACAGTGACCCCTACTGGCTGATGCTGGTATTGCAGAGTAATTTCCATTTATTCTGAGAAAATTACCTGCATTTGTATTGCCGGTATTACTGCAATACTGGCACGGCAGCCTCAAATACCAGCTGTGCCAGTAAAATACCAGTCAGGTGGCAAACCTAAGAGTAGTGTGTAAAAAAAAAAAAATATATATATATATATTTTTTTTTTTTTAAATGGGCCTATTCCATGGGCCTGGGCCTGGGCCTGGAGCTGCAGCTCCATCAGCCCCTATGTTAATCCGGCCCTGCCTCTACTGAAGCGAACTGCCCGAAGGCTGGTGAGGAATATCTTTGATCTCCTCACTGGCCCGAGAAGGCATATATTAAAGCTGGTTCTGCATGGACCAGCAGGGTAGATGAAAGGATCTTCCCAGTCAGCCTCAGCCCATGGGCATCATGGTGGGGCCCTTAATGCTTGCGGGGTCCCCAGGCAACTGCCCAGCGTGCCCATGCGTAAAGACCCTATACAAGGCTACTGAACATCATTTACTACTCTTGATGTTATCATGTAATTCATTCAGCTGAATCTCTTTCCCCGAACCAATGAACTACAAAGTATAGTTTTTATTTTTTATAATTCTTTATTTTTGGTGTAGAAGTAATCATACAGCAATCATAAGGTGCAATAAACAAGCATACAATTTCCCAATTTTTTTTGTAAATGAGCGTAAAATGCACAGATAATAACATATAAAGGATAATACGGTGGAGTAACAAGTGCTATGCTGAGCAGAGGTATTAAGGGTGAAATAAGCGGGGCCCCTGGGGCCATGGTGAGTATATTCTTGCGGTGAGTAGGGTAGGCTTAGGGCATATGACTCCAGTAACCTTAACTGCTGGTAGGTGCTGGTGGGTGAGGGCTAGAAGTGGTGTAAACCAGGTGAACCTGGCTCGGATATGCGTGCAATAGGTTATCAGGGAGAAGGTGGCCCACACCTATGTATGGGGGTTTACAGACCCCATTGTCGGTGGGGTTATGTCCCTAAAGGGGCCGTGATGTAGCGTGTTATGTTTATACCTTCAGTGATCGGATTGTCTGCTCGTGCTGCTGTCAGCAGCGGGTTCCAGCCATGTAAGGGTATGAGCCTATGGCTTTTTGAGGTAAAGTGTGGATAGATGTGAACTAAGAAAGGGCATTACAAATGTAGACTTAAACTTAAAACCAACAGTGGCTTTATAAAATGTGTGGCAAAGCCTGTCTAGGGGCGAGTCCACAGTGCATCCTTGATGCCAGGTATTGACAGTTCCTGTAGTTCAGTCGACTGGACCCACTGCAGTGGGGTAGGAGCCTCTCCTCGGCTTGAATGGGGTAATGTTATCCCCATCCCATCAATAGTGACTGTCTCTCATTTGTTCCACTGGCGTGGTCATACCCTGCTGAAGCAGAAACTGCTGACCTTCTGCTGGTGAATTATGTTTGTAGATTGTCCCATCTTTGGTGACCTGTAAGGAGTGCGGTTAGCCCCAGCGGTATGAGATCTTCCTCCTCCTCAGCACGCTAGTGATGGGTCACATCGATTGCCTCCAGAGCATGGTAGATCTGGACAAATCATTATAGAATGCCAGAGTGTGTTGCTCGAAGGCTAGGGAGGGTGAGTCCTGGACCACTGACTGCTATCTTGTCCAGGTGCGTGACAAATTAAATGATAACAGTGCTGTGTACCTGCTGGGGTGGCCTGCCCTGTCTGCAGATTCTGTAAATATTGTCCACGAGAATGTTTTTAGCCTGCTTGTGGGGTAACATATGCTGTAGCAGGCGTCTCAGGAATTGTGGCAGTTCAGTCTGCTCCACGGTGTTTGGTATGCTTCTGATTTTAACGTTTTTGCGGCAGCTGCGGTCTTTGTATTCTGCCATCTTTTGTGCCATGTTTGTTTAGGATGCTTTAATCTGCTTCTGTTCTGCAGCAATTGAGACTTGCTCAACATTGAAGTGGGAGGACGTCTTCTCTGTGGCCTTTATTCTCCCGGTGAGCGAGAGCATGTCCTCTCGTAGGATCGCTAGGTCGGCCTGGAGCATCTTGCATATATCAAGTAGCAGTATTTTAATTGCGCCCTTCATGGCTGGTGTGTTGGCTTCCGGCTGAGGGGATATCCTCCAGTGTATCTAGGGTTCCTCCTTGGACGATGAGTCCTCCGCATGTTGCTCTGCCATCTTGGGTGCCATGCATGGGAGGCCTACCTGTATGTTATCCCCAATATATAAGAGCCAATAGCCGCTTTATTCTTTTTGGCCTGTTTTCCCATTGCGTTATGGAGGTGAAGGGTTGGTTTTCCACCAAACACCCAGTTTGTTGTGTTTTAGTGGCTTAGCGATACAGAGCCTCTGTTCTGCACATCTGCTCGCCTACTCCCCCTACTCCCCCCCATAGATTTTTTTTTTATCCCTAGCTAAACAGCTGTATGCTAGAGAATTGCTTCAAAAGAGTAATTAGTTCAAAAGGATACTAAGCCCCAAAGATTAGTATAGTTTAATATAGTAGTTTTGGTGCACAATCTTTGTCCCTTTTCTCCAGTAATATAAAACATTACTGTTTCTGTGAAATTATAATGTTTACATTTGTTAGAGGGCACACCTCTAGAGGTACTTCCTCATGAAGACCTTTGAAGATTGAAGGTCTTAACAATTTCCATTATCACCACAGCATGACAACACTGAAAAGTTTTAATACTTTGTCATACAGAATCACGGGTTCTCTATAAGAGGCACCGGGCACGTTGATTGCACATGACCCTTAAGTCCCAAATGTTTTTTGGGGGGATTTTTATAATTTTTAAATGGAGGGTAGTATTGTAAATCAATAAAGGAACACACTAAGGTTACAAATAAGTGATTTTTTGTAGTGTGACACAAACCTTTTGAAGCCACAGTTTTCTAGGGTCAAAGAATGTAGATTTCAGTTTACATTTATTTATTTATTTATTTATTTATAAAATATTTTACCAGGAAAGATACATTGAGATTTCTCTCATTTTCAAGTATGTCCTGGGTCCACAAATCATTGCATTGTTACATTAGGGTACAATAAAATACAAAACCAATATTAATACACAATAAATATAAAATTTAACATAGAACAGGTAGGAAATATATAATCAACCATGACAAGTGCATTCTGTTTTGAGGTCTGTAGAGAGGGATCTCTTAAAGGACTTTAGGCTTAGGGAAGATTTTAAATTGTGCGGGAGGTCGTTCCACAATTGCGGTGCTCTGTAGAAGAAGGAGGATTGGGCTGCTTTCTTTTTGTATTGAGGTAGACTAAATAAAGTGTTGGTACTGGTTATATGAAGTGGGAACAGTTGGGGAAAGCATTTTGTTCAGGTAGGGTGGGAGTTTCCCAGAAAAGCTCTTAAACACAAGGCTGGAAAGATGAAGGGTGTGTCTGGATTCCAGCGACAGCCAGTTTAGTTCTTTTAGCATGTCACAATGGTGAGTCCTGTAATTACATTGTAGCACAAATCGGCAGAACGAGTTATACAATGTGTTGAGTTTATTAATGTGGGATTGCGATGCAGATGCATATACTACATCCCCATAATCAATGATTGGCATCAGCATTTGCTGTACAATCTTTTCCTTTAGTGTAGGGCTTAGGCAGGATTTGTTTATGTACAGGGCACCTAGTTTTGGATAAAGTTTAGATGCAAGCTTTTCTGTGTGCAGGCCAAAAGATAGATTGGGGTCTAACATCATACCCAAGTATTTGAAAGAGTGGACTGCAGTCAGTGTGCCATTTGAATTTGTTTTGATTGATAGGTGGGAATTGTGTAATTTGTGTAATTTAGGTACTGTTCCAAAGATCATTGTGACAGTTTTGTCAGTGTTCAGGAAGAGTTTGTTTTTTGCGATCCACTTTTCTACCTCTGTAAACTCGTCTTGGAGCACAGCCTCAAGCTGCAGTAGATTGGATTTGCTCGCATAGATTACTGTGTCATCTGTGTACATGTGTACATTTGAGGATTTGCAGACATTAGGCAGATCATTTATAAATAATGTAAATAGTAGGGGGCCGAGAATGGAACCTTTCGGAACACCACACGTGACTGGGAGAGGGAGTTGCTGTCAGAAATGGACACATATTGCGAGCGATCCGATACATACGATCGAAACCAGGTTAGCGAACGATCACCAATACCTGAGTTTTTGAGTTTGTGCAGTAGAATGACTGTAGTACATGTGTTATTTTATGTCCTATAGACAACTATTACACCAACAATCACACAAAAGAGTCCATATATTGGAAACATCCTTTCTCTCTTCTATTGGAGCAAAGGTTTTAGCAAATAAAATCTGTTTTCTCTTACTGTAATCTTTTTTTCTTGGCTGAATAAATCTAGTCTAGCTCCTTTTTTAAAACCTGGTCTGGATTCTAAAAACTACAGTTAATACAGTATGTGTGTGAGATTGCTCTCCCACACTGCTCTGTACATTCTCCACACCAATGACCCAGAACAATATTTATTCACACACAGAATTGTATAGACCACTTTCCCAGTGGTATCAATTGGAGAAAACACAGCTAATCAAAGTTGGTTTGATATTTTCCCAGCCAATGTCAAACTAGGTTTTCTGTCCTATTTTATCTTGTCTTAAGCCAACTACGTCCTTGATTTAATAAGCTTTCTAAATTATTTAATACTGTTAGAAAACCTTTCAAACGGTTTATCTACAAAATTGCTCATAGACTTTAATAGTGACTTCTCTATGTAAATCATTTGAAAAGTTTCTTAACAGTATTGAATCATTTGGAAAGCATATTAAATCGAGGCCTTATTCAGAGAATGTGTTTTAAAAATAATGGTTCCTTTCAAGTAAATTAAGATTTCTAGTTACAATTATCTCTTTAATGTGTTACCCAATTTTGCATCCCTGTATTACTAGCAAACCAATTTTCAAGTTGCCATTTAGTATTTTGATTACTAAATGATCAAAGTAATTAGAACGTTGGTTGCCAGCCAGAGCCTAATAATTGAGGAAATTATCCTCTTGGTGCGAGTTTCTTAAATTAGATTTTTTTTTTCACTGCAACATTAATCACAGTCATAACCAACTCAAACAGTTTCAACTGATATGTTTCACATAAACAAAGGCATTTGTAGAGACAATTGCCTGATTGATCTCAAATTTCTACTTATTCAGCAATTTTACAAAATTCATTTTTTTGTATAATAATAATAATGTATATTAATCGGTACAAAGATTTTAAGATCCTAACTGTAGAAGAACATTTATTTGTTTATGAAATGTATTTGTTTGTTTCTCTGTCTATCTCTTTATGTCTAGACTGTGCCTTTCAAGCTCATCCCACTCTTCACTGAGTTACTAATCAAAAGACTGAGAGACAGAAGACTCATTTCATTATCTGAGCAGGTAGCGGCTCATACAGCACTGTTCAAAGCTCATCTCTTATTAGGGAAATCAAATCCCCACCAACTGGCCCAACTTTATGGCTGGCGAGAGAGCACTTTGATTGTGATTGTTTTCTTTCACTTCATAGTTGACAGTAGTTTTTTTGTATGTTTTCTGATGGTGTCACATTGTATCATTAGTGCAAAGATTATGTGAGCAGCAAATCTCAAAGTCAATGTCTGTGAAACAGACATTACCAAAAAAAAAAGGAGGGCCCTTATAATGGCGTGCTTGGAATTAATTGCTCCTATTGTGCTAAAATTGGGATGGAAGAATATGTGGGTGTTGGGTCTGAAAACATTAGAGTTCAGCTGAAATACCAAGATGAAGTCTAGAAACAGGAATGAGAACCTGGAAAAATAAGGAAAGGTGATAATTTGAGGGAAATAGTTGAAATATGAGTCTGGAGTATAAGAAGGTAGAGGGCTTCTTATACTATAAAAATATAAGTAATATAATTGTTTTCTGTACAGCCTGCATGAGAATGTCCTGAGTCCTTTGCAAAACCACTGACTGGGCCCCCACCCCACCAGCAAATACATGAACAAACCCAGAAACACAGTACTTTTCTGAGGGGGAAGACGTCATCAGCAGATGCACAAATTGCTGCTATTTTGGGCCCTACCTCTCTCTTGTTTTGACACTTTTCAGAAATCCGAATCACTTTGGTGCTTCGGCACTTCCGAACTACCGAACTTCATTACTTCGGAACTTCGGCGTTTCGGGACTTCGGCACTTCGGGCATATGAATGTCTGAATGGCATGAAATTTGTATGAATGTACATTAGGAACGAAAGGAATTGCACATGTCTTACTTTAATTTATTAGGAACAACTCTTTTTTTTATTATTTCTCCCCCAGTACCTCGTATTATATACATTAGTCCATTCTTAATAGAAAATTTTTGGAAGTGCCTGAACTGATTTGCAACCAGTCACAAAAGCCATGTATATATATTGAATTTCAATGCCAATGTAGCACACCATATTTAATAATATATAAATGGTAATATGGGGCTTGCTTTCAGAAGTTGTGCATGAAGAGCAATTCTGGGTTGATGTACTATTCATGGAGAAATTAGCAGTGACACTATATTGGTTTCCATGACTATTGCACCACTTAATACACAATGCCTACGGAAATTACTTCAAAGCACTATGTGAGTCATTCATTCTCTTCTAATGCCTGGGATAGGTTGCCTTTAAAATAGCTTACTTATATTAAGCTAAAGCAAATCATTTGCAGATGTAGAATGTAGCTATTCAATCATCTGTCAAATTTTGGTCAAGCCATACACTTACTAACCTGTACATGTGCACAAACATGTGCATTGTAGCTCTGCCGTTGCGTCGCAGCCAGATATGATATGCGGGAGGGCAGACTGGTTGCAGCCACAGCTCAAAGTGGCCCCAAGGAAGGCATAACGGATAACTTTCCGGTATACCAGTCTGGCCCTGTATATATACATTTAAATTGAACTTTATTATGACGTAAGTTAGTAAATCTTAAATGTAAGCTTAAAAGAAAAAGCAGCATCTCATGAAAAAGGTCAACACAAGTTATAGGTGGAAATTAAAAGGGGAACCATCACTTCTCTTAAATTTGAATAAAACATAAAAAAAAACAACCCACAAAAACTTTGAATTAAACATTGAAAATCATCCATAAGTTATGTTGACCTTTTTTTCTTTGATGGTCATTTTTCTTTCAAATATATATTAAAGATTTAGCCAATGTCATCACTAATCACTAAAGGTCAGTGAAGGCACAACCAAGGTACACATTGTAAATGAGAAAACAAAATAGAAATATTGTGTTATTTATTTTCCTCTCTCTATGCTTTCCTTATGCTGTTTGCCAGGTGTTTATCATAATGGCTGAAAGGGTGCCAAGATCGAGGCACCCAGATTCAACATAAATAAGTGTGAATTTCTACAAGTAATTTAGTTTTTTCGAACTTCACAATTAATATTTTTTAGAATAGGGATAATTGACCCCTTTAAGCAAGAACGGATTTCAAATAGGTTACCTTATTCCTTAATTTAAAATGCCTATGGTACTATGATGTTTGTACCACTTTAGTCTCGTGATCTGATGACTAATTATCTAATTGAAGCTCATATGTTTGTGTACCTATATAATATCTGTGTTGGTTTGTTTGTGTGGATAAAGCTGAAAAACACTTCTATTTACCCACTTGAGTGACTGGTTCCTTCTTTGGAACACTATCCTTCTTTGAAACACGAAGTATAACTATAATATATATTTGTAAGATTGTATGCAGTCTCAATAATAAACAAAAACAAACTGTTTTAACAATTCATTATGAAGGTTAATGCAGGTTGCAAAAAAATACAATTGATGGTTATATATGCGAACTCAAGGCACCCAGAAGTATTAGTTATATAACTCTCAATCGCTGAATCAATGTTAAGACCCCATTTAACTTAATAATAACTATTTCATAGTACTACAATGGATACTTTTTTGGCACTCCATCTAACATGAACTAATGATTACATTTCTTTAGCCAACACAAATAGCTGAGCGTCTTGAGAACCATAAAACATATCTCTTGAGAGAATTCAGGGTTGTCTGTGAACCTCGACAATTATGCTGTCTTGCCTGACAGTCCCCTTTTTAGGTGCCTCTGTCTCTGTCCTTTCCAATTTCTCATCCTATCCATATAGGTATGGTGCAATGTATCTCACATTGGCAATTTTGATGTAGTGCTACAGTTGTCCATGAAATGTTGTTTGCCTTTGAAGTGTGGAGTACTAAAATAAATGAGTAATTCTGGCAAATATTTAACATACTTTCAGATCAGATTCTCCTTAAGCATCCCATATGTTTTTGAGATACATTTTCCATGATGCCATGCCAGATGATATATATTGAAGTACATTTACTTATATAATGCTTAATAATAATAATAATAATAATAATAATAACTTAGCATCTGCACCAAAAAATATTTTTATAAATGTGTACTAAAGATTGTCTAATGAGAATAAATGTTGACACCACAGTTACTACATGTTTGTAGGTAATGTTTAAATATAAAATATAAACATTTTATATTTTGTACTATAAAACCAAGCAGAACATTAGTGATTGAACTACCAACTTTTTTTTTTTTTAAAAAGATACATCTGTAACAAATGTTTTCAACCTTTAATTACATTAATCTGCACGCACGCACGCACGCACGCACGCACACTTTTTCTTTCTCTCTCTCTTCAGACCTGTGGAAGAGAGGAAAACTCTTGAAAGCTTGTCTTTGAAATTTCATATTAGTCCAATAACAAAAGGTATCATTGCATTCTGCAATACTCTGGTATTTTTGCATCTTTTATATATATATATATATATATATATATATATATATATATATACACACACTGTTTTGGAGACTCACATGCAAGCCTAAAGGGGAATTACTAGCTTCACTGTTCGCAAAGCATGACATTTCAATTGTGCAGCCAATAAAAGAATTACATGAAGATGACTAAAATGATTTAGTGTACAGAGAGCTACAATGCTAGGGTTACCATGGTGAACTACTCTCTGTGCAGAAAAAGGTCAAGTGAGGGAGACCTATCAATGGAGAACCTTCGGATGCATGATAGAAAAAGATACTACTCAAACAATTATTTAAAAATATTTGTCAACCAATGAAAGCAGTAAATGGACATGTTGAAACAAAAAATGCTGAATTAGAGAAACAAATCAAGTTTTTGAACTGTGCATACATTGAGGTTACATATAAAGAGTCATTCTTGGGCAAAGTTCTGAATGAAATGTTCTCACTGGTTGCTCCATAACATAGGATGTTACCCTGAAATTGCTCTTTATATGCAATCACCAATCTATTTATCTGTCATCATAAAGATCAGTAAGATGAGAATTCTAAATTTGATTGACCAAGTGTATGTGTTCCTGCAGATGTGATAATTTTAGCTTCTTTTTTTGTTTACTTATATATGCTTTGTGCTGTTTCAATTCTAGCTATCTGTCTGTATATCTATCCTATCTTTGTAGCTATTATTATTATTATTATTATTAGTAGTAGTAGTAGTATTTATAAAGCACCAACAAATTCCATAGCGCTGTACAATGGGTGGACTAACAGATACATATTTGTGACCAGACAAGTTGGACACACAGGAACAGAGGGATTGACGGCCCTACTCAATGAGCTTACATGCTAGAGGGAGTGGGGTATAGTGACACAAAATTTAAGGCTATGGTAGAAAAGTAGGTTGCTATGATAGTATTAATTGAGGGTTAAGTGTTTTGTTTTGATGACAGTTTCAGGAGAGGAATCAGGGCGAGAGGAGGGAAAGCTGTTCACAGTTTAATTGATATGCTTTCTTAAAGAAGTAAGTTTTCAAAGATTTTATGAATGAGTGGAGATTGGGTGAAAGTCTAACAGAGAGGGGAAGGGCGTTCCATAGGATGTTCCACAGCTATTTATGTAGGAGAAGATTATTTTTGGATGGATGACAAAGCTGAATCAATTATCAAATAAATAATAATTATTTTTAGGCCAATTTTGTTTGATTAATGTTGTGTTATAATATGCTTTTGCACCAGAGAAAGTTCTATGTTAATACAGTAACTGTCTTCTGAATTATGAATGCTGTAAGAACATGAAACCCTAAGGGCGTTGCATCTACAATCGAGAGAGGTAATCATCAAATATTTAAGATCAAAATGCAGTAACACATGCTAGCTGTCATGTGCACGTTTGCTTAATGTTATGATAAGGTTTTTTTTATTTTTATTATTAAAAACATCATAGTAAAGAATTTTTGTGAAAATAATAATTAATTCAAGAACGAATTTCATATCTAGCAACATGAATCTGGATAGAGACTTTTTTGGATATCCTAAGAAATCGTATATTCTATAAAGTAATGTGAAATATTCTTCTTTTATGTTTTAATTTCATATTGTAATGTATACGTATCTAGCTGTTGTCATAGTATGCCTTAAATTTAGTGCATAAATCAGTTTGCCGTAATTCCGATGTTGCCACAAGGCATAAAATATGACATTGGAATAGGCATTTGGATATTATCATGCTTAATAATTCACTGAGCATTTGTTTTATGCAAACTAATGTCTACTAATAAAAATAACATGCAAGTTACAACTATGTGACAGTTAAAAATGTTTATTTTTTTTCTCAAGCATTATGAAATATGAATTATGCATTTTTATATCTATAAACACCAGCATACCATCAGATTATGTTACGCCAACGAAGCCGTTATTGATTTTTGTAATAATTTTGTAATATTGCTACACTGCAGTGTTGAAGCTGCTAATATCATTTTTGCACTGAACTGTATGCTTTAGAGACAATATTTGATATCTCATAAACAGCAGTTAAAACATTAGCTTTCTACCCGCGATCACTGCTGTATATACTTTGCATTTACTTTTATATCTATAGTAAATGTCTGAGAATTTCTAAACATTGGAGCTGATGTTATTTTGATTTCTTGCCCAGATTTTCTAATTATTGTGCTATTTTACCACATGATTACATCAGTTACTGGAAAATATATATTAGAAACAAAACAGCAAACACGTTGGAGGTGTTAGCTCATAACTAAGCAATCCACAACTATGACTATTGTTGTTTGTTAAAGGAAATACGGAAATTCTTTAGAAGCAATTTTTACTTTTAATCCCTTAACCCCTTAAGGACGGAGCCAAATGTACACGTTGTGAACAAAACAAAATGTAAACAAAACCTGGCATTTGCGCTACATGTCTGTCCAACCGTAATTCACCTCTTTCATAGTAAATGCACCCACCCTTATTATATATCATTTTATTCAGGGGAAACAGGGCTTTCATTTAATATCAAATATTTAACTATGAAACATAATTTAATATGAAAAAAATGGGAGAAAATACGATTTTTTTTTGATTTTTTTAGTTCTACATGACATTTTAACGGTCAATGTCATAATAGTGTTTGCTTTTACTGCAATAAAATACACATATCTGTATTCAGCAAAGTCTCACGTGTAAGACAGTACCCCCTATGTACAGGTTTTATGGCGTTTTGGGAAGTTACAGGGTCAAATATAGCACGTTACATTTGAAATTGAAATTCGCCAGATTGGTTACGTTGCCTTTGAGACTGTATAGTAGCCCAGGAATGAAATTTACACCCATAATGGCATACCATTTGCAATAGTAGACAACCCAAGGTATTGCAAATGGGGTATGTCCAGTCTTTTTTAGTAGCCATTTGGTCACAAACACTGGCCAAAGTTAGCGTTAGTATTTGTTTGTGTGTGAAAAATGCAAAAAACGCCAATTTTGGCCAGTGTTTGTGACTAAGTGGCTACTAAAAAAGACTGGACATACCCCATTTGCAATACCTTGGGTTGTCTACTATTGCAAATGGTATGCCATCATAGGGGTAATTTTCATTCTTGGGCTACCATAGGGTCTCAAAGGCAACGTAACCAATCTGGCGAATTTTAATGTGAAAAAAATGAAACACAAGCCTTATATTTGACACTGTAACTTTTGAAAACACCATAAAACCTGTACATGAGGGGTACTGTTGTACTCGGGAGACTTCACTGAACACAAATATTTGTGTTTCAAAACAGTAAAAAGTATCATAGCAATAATATTGTCCGTTTAATGCTGTTTGTGCGTGAAAAATGCAAAAACGTCACTTTTACTGGCGATATCATCGTTGTAATACATTTTACTGTTTTGAAACACTAATATTTGTGTTCCGCGAAGTCTCCCGAGTAGAACAGTACCCCCATGTACAGGTTTTATGGTGTCTCGGAAAGTTATAGGGTTAAATATAGTGCTAGCAAATTAAATTCCCTTTACTTTCGGCATGGGTTGTCATGCAGGTCCTACTAATTGTAATTAATTAAGATACCTAATTATGTAAAAATATTACATAAATATATATGTAGAATCAATATATGTATATATATACGTATGTGTATATATATGTATATATCTATATAATTTTTAAAAAATATTTTTATTTATATATAGGTATATATATAGTGATATATATGTATATATTTATGTGTATAAATATATATATTATTTCGTTCTATGTGTATTTTGATATATATATATATATATTAATTTCACAATACAGTTAGAACGAAATAACACACATCTATATATTTTTAATTATTTATTTTTAATTATTTTTTTAATTTTATTTTTTAACGTATTTACATTTTTATTTTTTTTATATTATATATAAATATATATATATAACAATAATTATATATATATTTAATCAGTATCAGTCTACATGTGTGTATGTATATGTGTATATATATATATACTTAGATCATATATATATAATATATGTATATATGATCTAAGTATATATTATTTTCTTTTTTACACTATTTATTTTATTCATTTTTATTTTCAGCCAGCAGGGGGACCACCTGTCATTACAGGCAGCCCCCCTGCTGGCAATGCTGCAGCCAGCTACCCTCAGCCATGTGATTGTGGGGTCCTCGCAAGGACCCCACTCTCACATGGCCGGGGGGCTTCCAGGAGGACGGAGGTGCCGCGGGGGGCTCCCTGGGAGTCCCCCGAACCGCGATCGCAGGCGACCGCGTAAGTACCGAAAGACCGGAGGGCGTACTATTACGCCCGGCGGCGTTTAGAGCCGCTTAGAATAGGGCGTAATAGTACGCCCTCCGGTCTTAAGGGGTTAAGGACTGAGCAAAATGTACACGTTGTGATCAAAACAAAACGTAAACAAAACCTGGAATTTGCGCTACATGTCTGTCCAACCGTAATTCACCTCTTTCATATTATGTGTACCCACACTTATTATATATCATTTTATTGATGGAAAACAGGGCTTTCAAATATTTAGGTATGAAACACAATTTAATATGAATAAAATATAAAAAAATGGGAGAAAACAAGAATTTCAATTTTTTTTTTTAGTTCTACGTGACATTTTAACTGTGAATGTTATAATACTGTTTGATTTTACTGCAGTAAAATACACATATTTGTATTCAGTGATGTCTTACGTGTAAAACAGCACCCCCTATGTACAGGTTTTATGGTGTTTTGGGAAGTTACAGGGTCAAATATAGCATGTTACATTTTTAGTTTATTTACATTGAAATTTAGTAGACAACCCAAAGGTATTGCAAATGGGGTATATCCAGTCTTTTTTAGTAGCCACTTGGTCACAAACACTGGCCAAAGTTAGCTAATATTTATTTGTGTGTGAAAAATGCAAAAAAACTATTTGAACGCCCATTTGGCCAGTGTTTGTGACTAAGTGGCTACTAAAAAAGACTGGATATACCCCATTTGCAATACCTTGGGTTGTCTATTATTGCAAATGGTATGCCATCATGGGGGATAATTTTCATTCCTAGGCTACCATACGGTCTCAAAAGCAACGTAACCAATCTGGTGAATTTCAATGTGAAAAAACTGAAACGCAAGCCTTATATTTGACTCTGTAACTTTTGAAAACACCATAAAACCTGTACATGAGGGGTACTGTTATACTCGGGAGACTTCGCTGAACACAAATATTAGTGTTTCAAAACAGTAAAATGTATCACAAAAATTATATCATTCATGTAAGTGCCATTTGTGTGTGAAAATTTTTAAAAATGTCACTTTCACTGACAATATTGTCATTGTAATACAGTTTACTGTTTTGAAACACTAATATTTATGTTCAGCAAAGTCTTCCAAGTAAAACAGTACCACCCATGTACAGGTTTTATGGTGTCTTGCAAAGTTACAGGGTTAAATATAGTGCTAGCAAATTAAATTCCCTGGACTTTCGGCCTGTGTTCTCAGGCAGGTCCCGCAAATTGTAATTAATAAAATGACCTAATTATGTACAAATATTACATAAATATATACGTAGAATTATTATGTATATACATGTGTATGTATAAATGTGTGTGTGTATATATATTTATATATATATATATATATATATATATATATATATATATAAAGACATAATATATATATATATGTATATATATATATATATATATATATATATATATATATTTTTTTTTTTTATTATTATTTTTATTTTATATAGGGGTATATATAAGGATTTATACATATACTTATGTATGTAGATATATATATTATTTCATTCTACGTGTATTTTGTAATCAATATATATCTATTAATTTTAAAATAGAGTTAGAACGAAATTACAGTGGGACCTCGGCTTACAAATGACTCAGTTAACATAATTTTTGGTTTACAAATGAAAATCCATTGAAAACAATGCCTCGGTTTACAAAAAATTTTTGCAATACAAAGCAAGTTTCCCCAGGATGCATTGCACCTGGGAGGTTTGTAGCACTGCCCCCTGCATGCTGGAACCTCGCCACATCAATTGTGGAGGTGTTGGAGCGGCTTTTACATCGAGTTTTGGAGCCATTTTGGAAATTGTCTGCAGTTGTTTTGGGACTTTTTGGTGCATTTTTCAAGCTGTGGAAAGGTAGGGAGCTGAGCTTAGTCATTTGCATGCCTTTTATTGTGTGTTCTGCATTGTGGGTTGGTTTCCATGCCAGCTCATTTTGACTTTTTTCTGACTTCGGGAACGGATTAATTGGTTTTCAATGCATTCCTATGGGAAACCGCATTTCAGTTTACAAATTTTTTGCAATATGAAATGTCCTGGAGAACGCATTAAATTCGTAAACCGAGGTCCCACTGTACACATATATATAATTTATTTATTTGCATTATTTTTTAATTTTTTTTTAAATGTATTTACATATTTAATTTACATTATATATAATTATATATATATATATTTAATCAATATCATTCTACGTGTATTTTGATATTAATATATATATATATATATATATATATAATTAATAATGTATGTGTGTGTATGTGTAAATGTCTATATATGAGTGTGTATATATATATATATATATATATTTATATATATATATATATATATATATACTTAGATCATATAATAAATGGACAACAAACACAGGTGCATTTTATTGATGGCATTTTGAATGCACAGAGATAACGTGACGAGATCCTAAAGGGCCATTTTTGTGCCATTCATCCACAACCATCACCTCATGTTGCAGCATGATAATGCACGGCCCCATGTTGCAAGGGTCTGTACACAATTCCTGGAAGCTGAAAACATCCCAGTTCTTGCATGGCCAGCATACTCACCAAACATGTCACCCACTGAGCATGTTTGGGATGCTCTGGATCGGCGTATACAACAGCGTGTTCCAGGTCCTGCCAATATCCAGCAACTTTGCACAGCCATTGAAGAGGAATGGACCAATAATCCACAGGCCACAATCAACAACCTGATCAACTCTATGCGAAAGAGATGTGTTAAGTCAAATGCGTGAGTCAAATGGTGGTCACACAAGATACTGACTGGTTTTCAGACCCCCCCAGACCTCCCCATTACAGTAAAACTGCACATTTTAGAGTGTCCTTTTATTGTGGCCAGCCTAAGGCACACCTGTGCAATAATCATGCTTTCTAATCAGCATCTTGATATGCCACACCTGTGAGGTGGATGGATTATCTTGAAAACTGAACTTTTGAAAATAAATACATTTCCTCTCTAGAGTTGTCTACAAGTAAGATATTGCAATTTATGCTTAGCACTATGTAGAACAAGATTTTATTGACACACACACATATATATATACTTGAACACTATATAATATATAAAGAGAGACAGAGGTTGGCTAATAGAGGAAATCTATATGGCCTCTTCTTTTATAAATTGATATGTAATCAAGGTGTGAACTAACCTCTACCATTCAGGTTTAAATAAAATTGATCCTGATATACATGAATATATGGATGAAAAGCCACCTTTGAACATTCTGAAATGTATCTATATATAGTGGTTCTTCTGCAATAATAAGTGTAGCATCCTACTGTGGCTGCACACTAGGCATTGTGGGAACTCAAGACAATTCATACCCTTACTGCAATCACCATATATATAGTTTATACATTTATTCTGAAGGCTAAAATCTTGCAACAACTACATAAATACAATAAAAAATAATGTAGTTGTATTTTATGTGTTTTAGTTATTGTTTTGTATACTAAACAGATTAAATACATTTTTAATGTTTACAAATGTTATAGCTGTATGACAAGTGCTCTTTAAAATCAAAATAGTTTCTTGTATATATTTATTAAGGATTGAATGATAGCATTGTACAGGTGTTACTGATAAATTTGTGCATTGATTTCATTAGTACTTTATACTATTTGATTTCATTTTAAGCCTGTTTATCATTCTACATGAGTCCCTTTAAAATGCTTCCAAACCCTGTATGGGGTTGGTCTGAAAAACATTTGTGAATTACAAGTTGGCTTTTTCTACTAATTAAAACCATCACAGATACATTCTCTGTTTTGTGAGAACCGGCATTCATTATGAGCATTCATTCATCATACTTATGTGTATGGTCCTGTTTAATTTGTTAGTTTGAAAAATCATCTTTCAAAGTGTGTAAATATGCAGAACTGACTAAATGTTAATCATGCGGCGAGGAGAGGTGAGCTAAATGTCTAATAAAAAAAATGAGGTTCCTCAAAAGATGGGCAGCAGAGAGAGAAAAAACAACCTAATTTACAATTCACTCATAAAAATTCTAAATAAACACATTAGTGTTTGCACTCTTGAGTTATTAATTTTCCCCAATGTTCTAAGCTAATGCATTTGTTCTCCCCTTCCAAATCACCATTTCCATTTTTGTGCATACATGCATTTAGTTTGTATAGCATCATTGTAAACTAGCACAGTTCTAATATAAATAAAATTGCCCGAATGTATGTTGTTTTTAAAACTATTAGACTATTAATATGTTGTACTGTTTTTTTTTACATTTTATGATTAAAATTATTGTGACCTCTGATTTAAAATTAAAAAAAAAAATCATACTTTTAATTATTTCCACAAATATAAATTTTCTACAATATGGCTACTATATTCTTTCTCATGGTTCCAGTTATAAAATCTTTAGATTAATTATTCCAGTCTTTGTACTAATATATTCATTGCACCAAATAAAATGGTTTGTGTGTTTGCTGAAGCACAATGAACAATGTAGCACGCAGAGTACTTACTCGCGTGAGGTGTTCATCCAAGAGAATTATATATTCAAAAGTACTATTGAAGGGTGAATCAGTGGGAGGCTAGTATGACTCAAGGCATTGCAATACACAGCAGGTATCAGAATTAAAGCAATACAAATAAGACTTGCATTTGGAATCCTGCAGTTCAAAAAACACAGTGCATGGTCCTATAGACCTATGCATTCAAGGAGAATGTAAGACTGACACTGGAAGCCATCCTTTGTTCATACTATGGGCATTAGAGATGGTTATATATTTTTAACAGAAAACCCAGTTGGAAATGTTATCCCCCAAATAAAATAGTAAGTCTTTAGGCTGGAGTTTATTAAACTACCCCCTATTATGCTTTGACATTGGAGTAGTACTCCATGTTTTAAAATATATCTTGTTGGAACATGTGCAGAGTAAAGGTAACATGGCGCATCAAGGAAGTGGTATATGGAAGTTAAAAGGTGTGGCCTAATGTGAACTCACAATACAATATACTGTCTAAATACACTGGGTCAGGTTTTATGGTAGCTTAAAGGAACACTATAGGGTCAGGAGCACAAACATGTATTCCTGACCCTATAGTGTTAAAAACAAACACAATCTAGTGAACCTTGGCAATCCTTTGCCCCTCTAAATATAGTAAAATCTTGCAGATCTAGCACAAGCCAAACACAGCCCTGGTCAGTAAGCATCTCATAATAGAGATGCATTGGATCAATGCATCTCTATGAGTAAAGGTCAATGTCTCAATGCAGAGGGGGGAGACAGTGAATATCAGTTCTACACCATCGTAGGAGTGGCCACTGGAGCTGTCCCTAGGCTGTAATGTAAACAATAGCTTTTCTTTGAATTGCCTGCAGGAACTGACTATACTCACAAGAAAAAATACAATAAGCTGTGACTATAGCATCTCTTTAATGTCCATACATGTGTGTGTGGGGGGGAGGGGGAAGGGAAGAATAAATTAGAACACTTTTAGCATAATATAGTTACAATGCAAACTGCAAACTCACATGTGGCATCTCCAAATTGGAATATATAGGGTTATTAACTAAATTCTAAACTTTCGCAAATGAACTCTGAATGGCAAAATGGAGGCAAAAATAGCAAAGTTGGAGAATTTATTTAAAAAAAAAAACAACCTTTCTGCCTCCCTATTTGCATTCAGATTTAATTCACAAAAAAATGCATGTTTGTGTATACACTTGATATTTTGTTTCTTAGGTTGCTCAATGTACAGACAAAAGCCAACTTATATATGCCTAACTTTGTATAAAATGTTTGAGTGGTGTATGTATATATATATATATATGTGGCAGCTACTCCCAAAGGTTGTATACCCTTAGCCCCTCATCCAAGTGTATATATATACACAGAGAGGTTACAGCCTATCTAAAATCAGAAAACAAATAGCACAGAGCATAATGTTGTTGTTTTTTTAGGGTCACACAAGCTTGTATTAATTGCACTCAAAAGAATGTGGAAATATATAGCCCTCGATGGGAGGGAAGGACCTGAATATGTTTCTATGCATTTAATCTATTTCGAAAAGACTTCTTCAGGGACCTTGCAATAAAACATGTATCAAAACAAAGCTACAATGATCCATACCTTCCATGTGTCCTCATAAATACAGATGAAGTGCTTATTCATTGGTAGATCCATGGGTGTGTGGCTTCTTTCCCAGCTGTGTCCACTCCATTGGCATTCCTTTCCCCGATTGTATCTGGCCAATCCCTCGCTCCCATCTTAATTTCTGCTTACGTTCGCATCATCCCATTGACATGGGGGTGTTCCAAATTCGCTAACATGCTTTCCACTTTGCTTTCGGAGTACTTTTATCTTTTCGGGTTTCCCTCAAAGCAAATTGTTACATTTGTCACTTACAGTGTATGATAATTGTATTCTTCATATGTTGTCATATATTTATAAATTCTTTATTTTTCAAGTTTAGATGAGGTGAAGGGTACAGAATAAAGGTAGGGGTAGGGTAGCAGTGATATTCAATAATTTTCAGTTTCGTTTCATTGCAATGGTATTAATACTATTTATTGCGAAACCTCAGGTCAGTCTTCGGGGTTGAGTGGTTCAGTTTTTGTATGTCTCAGGTGAAGGTTGTCACTTGGTTTTGGGTCTTGTCGTCTTTGCCTCTGAGAGCGTGTTTGGCTCTTCCTGTGTTGTGTTTGTCAGGTTTGTGTCTCTTTCGGTTTAATTGGGGTCTGGGGTTTGGTCTGGTGTGTCTGTTTTGTGTGCGGGTTCGGTCAGTGCGGGAGTTTGGTGGTCTCGGCCCATGGGTGGTCGTCTCGTTTAGGCTGTAGATGTGGAAGGTTTCCAGTGTGGTGAGCTCCGAGTCTATGCCTAGTGTCTGAGGTTGTTCTCTTATATTTGTATCTGCTGCTGGTGATCATGTTGTATGAGGTGTGGTATTTTGTGTTTGTGTTGGGTGAGTTCCCTAGTCTTGTGTTTATGCTTTTATTTGTGAGGTTGGTGTGGGGGGAGGGGGGGTCTGTGTAGTGTTTAGGAGGTTGGGGGGACCTATGTGGGGTCCTAGTGTGCTATCAGTAGGGTTTTTTTTTTGGGGGGGGGAGTCGTGTCTTGTTCCCAGGTCCTCCGTTTATGGTGCCAGTATGTGGTGTTGGGTCCATGGGTCCCATATCTTGTGGAAGTTTCATGTTGTATCGTGTAGTAGGGCTGATAGTTTGTCCATTTCCATTGTTTCTTGTATTTTGTTGATCATAGAGGTTAGTTGGGGTGTATTCTGATTTCCCCATTGTTCTGCTATCGTCCGTCTGGTGGCTAACGCTAGTCTGGCCACCAGTTTATTCTGCGCTCTGGTGAGGGTGGGTGAGGTTTGGAAAGAAGCCATATCCAGGGGTCTCTTGGTATGTCTGTTTCTAATATGTCTGACGCGAGCGTGACCACTCTTTTCCATATTTGTAGGACTTGGGGACATTCCCACCAGAGGTGGATGTATGTGCCCTTCTGTGTGCAGCCTTTCCAGCATGTATCTGTGGTGGCGAGGCCCATTTGTTTCAGTCTGAGTGGCGTGAGGTACCATCTGAGTAGGGTTTTATAAGCTTGCTCTTTATGGTTAACGCAAATGGTAAGCGAAGCCGTGGCTTCCCATATGTCTGCCCAGTCTGTGGGGTCTGCAGGGGGGCCTATATCTCTTTCCCAAGCCTTGGTGTAGAAGAGAGTGTCCTCTGGGGAGTTTGAGTTTAAGAATGAGTATATTTTTGTGATTTGTCCTTTCTGTATGGGTGCGTGGAGGCATGTTTTTTCGAATTGCGTTGGTTTGGTAGTGGCGGCTTCCCTATTTTGTGGTTCATTGAGAAAGCTGCGAATCTGTATATGGCGGAAATGATCGAATGTGGTCAGGGGTGTTTGTTTGGGGAGGTCCTGGAAGGGGTAGAGTTGTTGGTCTTGGAAAAAGTGGAGGAATCGGAACAGTCCGTTGTCCTCAAATCGTGAGAAGTCTTTGGGAGTTAGGCCTGGGGGAAATTGCTTGTTTCTTAGAATAGGTGTGAGGGGCGATGGTGTGTTCATTATGGGATGTTTTGATGTGATGTCGTCCCATATGAGAAAAGATGTGGTTAGTGTAGGAGTAGTTTGTGGGGTGGGTGGTCTGTCTTTCTTGGGTATCCAAAATAGTAGTGATGGGTGGTCTCGTCCCAGGAGGTCGTGCTCTAGGTCTACCCAGATCTTGAGTCCCGGTGGTGCATGTAGCTGTTGTATTTGGGCCAGTTGAGCCGCTTGGTAGTAGTTGTAGAAGTTCGGGAGACCCAGGCCTCCTGTTTTTGTGGTTTTGTACATTGTGGATCTTTTTATGCGCGGTCTCCTGTTTAACCATAAAAATCTGTCTATGTGTATTTGGAGCGTTTTAAAGTCATGTTTGGAAATAGGTATTGGTAGTGTTTGGAAGAGATAGAGGAATCGGGGGAGGAGATTCATTTTTATTGAGGCTATGCGCCCTATCCAAGATATGGACATAGGTCCCCATCTTTGCAGGTCCAGTTGTGCTTGGTGGAGTAGTGGTGTGTAGTTCAGGGCATATATTGTGTTCAGGTCTGCCGGGAGATATGTTCCTAGATAGCGTATATTGCTTAGGTTGTATTTAAATGGGTGGGCTAGTTGTAGTTGTTCCAGAGTGTGTTGTGGTATTGCTATTGGAAGGGCCTCTGTTTTCTCCAGGTTGAGTTTATACCCCGAGAGGGTTGCGTATTGTTGCAGGAGTGTTAGTAGGGGTGGTAAAGAGTGGGTGGGGTCCGAGAGTGTGAGGAGGATGTCGTCAGCATATGCCGCTATTTTGTATTCTTCTGACCTTATCTTAATCCCCTGTATTGTCTGTTCATTTCGTATGTTTTGGAGAAGAGGTTCAAGCGAAAGGGCGAATAAGAGTGGGGAGAGTGGGCATCCTTGTCTCGTTCCGTTTTTGATTACAAATTCTGGGTGTTTGGTGTTGGGGATAAAAAGTGTGGCCGTGGGTTGGTCATAGAGGGCTTTCAGGGCGTCTAGGATGGAGGACAGGAATTTGAATTTCTGGAGGGTGTTGTCATATATTTATATGCCTGTTCGAAAGTTCTTTTTCTATTTTACCAGTATATTTCTGACTGCACAAATTTGTACCAAAACCATGTTAATCTCTGCTATAAATGAATTTCTTAGATGTTTCATATATTAATTATTGATTGCTTTCTAAAGTATTATAGTTTATTTAATTTATGTTGTCTATATATTTCAAAATAGAAAAATAATAAATAAATAAATAAATAAATAAACAAACAAACAAACAAACAAACAAATAAATACATGTGTACTTTATACTTTTAGTTCTTGGTTACTTCCTAAGTGTTTAATTTACTTTATCTATATTATTATTTTAAGTTGAGGTTTATACCTTCTCTTAAGAACCTTACAGTGATTTGTGCATTACGCTACACCCTACAGCCTTTTGTTCTCAACAGGAATATTGGAGATCTATCTATATGCTGGTCTGTCTGTCCATCTATTTATAGATAATATCATGTTATTTGCTTATTGTTTCCTTGGTTGCTAATATGGCTAAAAAAAATTAAATAGGAAAAAAACTGTCTGTTTCTTTAAATTGAATAAATAAAGTTAAAATATAATTAATAAGCTACAATTGTACTCTCACAAATAGTGTTAACTGAAATATCTTGCTCTGGCTATATCTCTTACTACAAATGTTGTTTCCATTGGTCTGGTCCAGTATTGTTACTTCCAGTTCAACTTCTATAATTGATTCCAATTTGCCTTTACTTAACTATTGCAATGGAATTATTCATATGCAATTTTGATATAATTATGTTTCTTCAGTATCCTGTTTATTGTTTTACTTGAGCAGTTATTCTTTTACACAATATAGTATAACATTTTGTTTAAAACCACCTGCCTAATATTGTGTAGGTCCCTCTTGTGCTGCCAAGACAGCTTTGATGCATCAGGGCATGCACTCCACAAGACCTCTGAACAGGGGAGGGCTGGGGGGCAAAATCAGTCAAGTGGCCCATTGCCCCACCAAATCAGTTCACCAGCCATGCCCACCTTTTCCTGGTTTTAGAACGGATATTGATGTTATGCTAATACCCGCTCCTTCACGGCTCTGACTTTCAATGTTGTCAGAGCGCAGGCTGAGAATCTCTGAGCCTGTGCTCTGACTCACTAACTGAGCGCCGGAACCACCAGGGAGAGGCTATAATCTGACTGCACCTACTGCTGGTGCGCACCAGTGAACCACCAGCGAATCGTTTAAATTGAATATGCTGGTGTCCCCAACTTGTGAGCTGTGTTGGCCGCTGGGCGCCTCTGTTCTCATGGCACCCTGCGTGACCGCACAGCTTGCACACCCCAACGGCTGGCCCTGCTGACACACACTGATGTTACTACTTAGAAATCCTTCAATATTAATACAGACATCAGAGTAAACACGAATAAACTGTGGAAACAGAGCTGATCCCCCCCCAAATTTATAAAGATTTGCTTAGTGGATTTGTTGTAAGATTAAATCATGCCTCCTCCTCTCTCTCTCCCATGCACTGCTCTGTAGGCTGGGAGGAAGTGAATAGTAATCACATTCTCCCAGCACAGCGGCACCTGTGGCTGCATGGGGAACAGCTGGTTAATGTAATGCTTGCAGGACGGCCAGCTGCCGCAGAACCTCTTTGTTCCCATCTCTGCAAAGGGCTCCAGGCACTGCTTGTTGTGAGTGTGAGCCACTGTAAATTAGTGGCAGAGGGCACTTGCACTGCGGTAAAGACGGATCTGGGCAGGAGGGGAGTGCAGTGCAATCAGTGCACTCCCCTCCTGTGGGTCACCAGTAGACTGGTGCACCTGCCCAGGATCAGACCCTGTGCAAGGATTTTTGCCGCCCTTGACAAAAGAAAAATTTGCCGCCCCCCCCATGTAACATCACAATGCCCCACCCATATGATCTGCCATATGAACTAACGCCAGTGCTGCACACAGTGTGTGTTTACATTAAAAAGCCTGCAGAGACTGGCTATAGACACCAGAACCACTTCATTAAGCTATAGTGTCCCTTTAATGTGAGGTAAATTATAGATTAGTGTCACTAATAATATACTAGATTGCCTACTTACTTACTGGGAGAATTGGAAGCAGCTCCATTTTTTTGGGGCCCCTTACAAAGCTCAAGGTCTGGGCCTCAGGGCCTGACAGTGAGTATGCCCATAAGGCCCACTCATAAGTCCACTTATATGTTCCACCCACCCATGAGGTCGCTCACAGAGAGTGGAGTGTGTAGGGGATGTGTTATTGTAGAGGATCTAATATGTGTGCTTATGGTATGTAGTGTATAGGGATACCAGTTTTAGTAGGTGAGGCAGTGTGTTTGTGTGTAGTGGAAGCAGTGTGTATTTGTGTATAAGGGATGTATTATGTGTTTCTGGTTGTGTGTAAGGGATGCATTGTGTGAATCTGTGTTTGTATGTATAAGGGATGCAAGGTGTGTGTCTGTATGTATGTAAGAAAAGCAGTGTGTGTGTGTTTGCATGTGTGTGTAAGGGTTTGCATTGTGTGTTTCTGTGTATGTGTGCAAAGGATGTATTGTCTTTGTGTGTAAGGGTTGATTGTGTGTGTGTGTGTGTAATGGATGCATTGTGTGTTTCTCTGTGTGTAAGGGAAGCATGTTGTATTTCTGTGTGTGTAGGGATGCATTGTGTGTTTCTGTGTATGTATAGGGATGCATTGTGTGTGTGTGTGCGCGTAGTGTGAAAGAGCTACCTGTCTTGCCCCCTGTCCTATAGAGCTGTCCCTTAGAGCTCTCCCCTGCCCCTTAGTGGTCTCTCCCCTCCCCCACCGTCCCCTAGCGGTCTCTTCTCACACTCACCCACCCTCCCTGTGCTCTTCTCATCCCCCCCTCCACCCTCCCTGTGTTCTTCTCACTCCCCCCCTCCATGTGTTCTCCTCACCCCCCATGTTCTTCTTACCCCCCTCCTTCCTGTGTTCTTCATACTTCCCCCCTTGGTCGTCTTACTCCCCCACCTGTTCTTCTTACTACCCCACCTGTTCTTCTTACTCCCCCCTTCTTCTTACCCCCCCTTCTTCTTCCTCCCCCTTCTTCTTCTTACCCTCCCATCTTCTTACCCCCTTCTTCTTACCCCCTCTTCTTCTTACTCCCCACCCCTTCTTACTCCCCACTCTTCTTCTTACTCACCCCCTTCTTCTTCTTACCCCCTCTTTTTCTTATCTCCCCTCCTTCTTACTCCCCCCTCTTCTTACTCTCCCCTCTTCTTCTTTTACCCCCTCTTCTTCTTACTCCCACTTCTTCTTCTTACTCCCCCCTTCTTCTTCTCACCCCTCTTCTTCTTACTCCCCTTCTTCTTCTCCCCTTCTTCTTACTCCCTCTTCTTCTTACTCCCTCTTCTTCTTACTCCCCCTTCTTCTTCCTCCCCCTCTTCTTCTTACTCCCCCCTTCTTCTTCATTTAATTTGTTCTTTGTCTTATCTCCCCTCCTTCTTACTCCCCTCTTCTTCTTACTCCCCCCTCTTCTTCTTACCCCCTTCTTCTTCTTACTCCCCACTCTTCTTCTTACTGCCCACTCTTTTTCTTATCTCCCCTCCTTCTTACTCTCACCTCCCCCTCTTCTTTTCCTCTCCCCCTCTTCTCTCCCTCTCCTTCCTCCCTCCCTCTTCTTACTCCCTCCCTCCTTCTGCTTATTCCTCTCCCTCCTTCGGGTAGCAGTTGAAGTTCTTCCCGTTCAGTCGAGGGTAGACACTGAGTGTGCACTTCCTGTCAGTCCAGCTGGTACAGGAAACAGAAACTCCTGTTCGCCGCTGAGTTTCTGTTTGTACCGCCGATCGACAGGAAGTGCACACTCAGTGTGCACCTTCCTATCACTCCGGCCGTGCACTGCGGACCGGAGAGGAGCTCGGCCACGCTACAGAGGAGGGGAGGAGAGAAGCAACTGCAGCCGCCTGAGGCTCGTAACAGAGCGCTCAGGCGGCTGCAGCATTTAAAGGGCCGGCCCTGCAGCGGCCGGTCTTAAAAGAATTTAGGGCGGACTGGGGGGCAATTGCCTCCATGCCCCCCGGCCCAGCCCGCCCCTGCCTCTGAACCTGTTCTGTGATATCTGGCACCAAGACATTAACAGCAGATATTTTAAGTCCTGCAAGTAGCGAGATGGAGCCTCCATGGATTGTATATGTTGTTCCAGCATACCCCACAGATGATCAATTGGATTGTGATTTGGGGAATTTGGAGCCCAAAGCAACACCTTGAACTCTTTGTCATGTACCTTCAACTATTCCTGAACACTCTTTTGCTGTGTGTCAGGGTGCAATATCCTGCTGAAAGAGGCCAGTGCTATCAGGTATTATCATTGCCGAGAAGGGTTCTACATGTTTGCAACAATCCCTTGATAGGTGGCCTTCCTTCTTCCAACAGTGCATCAGGCTTCCAGATTAATGATGCACACTCACTCAGCTATCTACCTAATCTAATAAAAATATGATTTATCAGACCAGGCAAACATGTTGCTGTGATCGAAGCTCCAGTTCTGAACTCCCCATTGAAGGAACATTCAGTGGTGGACAGTGGTTAACATGGGCATTCTTACAGGTTTGCGGCTATGCAGCTCCAAATGCAGCAATCTGCAATGCACTGTGTTTTCTGACACTCAGGGCCAGCAGTAAGTTTTTAGCAATTTGAGCTGCAGTAGCTCTTTTATGTGATCTGAGTAGGCGGATTAGCCTTTGCCACCCCATGTGCATCGATGAAACGTGGGTACTCATGACCCTGACACTGGTCTTCCTTTCACCACTTTTGTAGGTACTAACTACTGCATACAGAGAACACCCGACAAGACTTCCAATTTTTAAGACGTGCTGACCCAGTCGTCTAGCCATCATTGTTTGGCCCTTGTCAAAGATCTTTTTGCTTGCCTATTGATCCTGCTTGCAACACTTGAAATTTAATAACTACAATTGGGTGTCACTACCTTGTTAGCCTCGTGTCCTTGGGTCCCAAGGCAAATGCCTTGTTAGCCTCGTGGTGAATACACCGCTGGGCACCCTAGCGTGACCTATGGCCACATGCCCACAGAAATGGCTACCTGTGGGCATCCCCCGAGGCAGGCGGCAGCTTGATTTGCGGTCAGGTGGCGAGGGAGAGCTGTAGTCTGAGCTCTTTCTGTTCAGCTCCCTTGCGCGCCGCTTAGTGATGCCGGGGGCCGGAATATAATGTCAGATCGGCTCCCAGCATCACTAAGCGGTGCGCGAGGGAGCTGAGCAGGAAGATCAGAGCTCCCTTGCCGCCTACTATGCCAGTTCGCCCCCTGCCTGCCTGTACAGCAGCACAAGCAGCCCGTGCAGTCCCATTGGACCCCAGGTGAGGAATCCACTCCAGTTCTCCCATAGAGGCTGGATGGAATTAAATTAAAATAAAATAATAATAGTAATTTGTGAGTGTTGAGGGAAATGTGTATGAGTGTGTGTCTGTCAGTTACTCTGTGTATGTCTGTCAGTGAGTGTGTGTTTGTCAGTGTGTGTGTCTTTGAGTGTGTGTGTGTGTGTGTTTGTGTCTGTCAGTCACTCTGTGTTTGTGAGTGAGTGTGTGTCTGTGAGTGTGTGTCTGTGTGTGTCAGTCACTATGTGTCTGTCAGTGTGTGTGAGTGTGTCTGTGAGTGTCAGTGTATCTGTGGGTGTTTGTGTATGTGTGTGCCAGTGTGTGTGTATTTGTGAGTGTGTGTGTGTATCTGTTAGTGTCTGTGTATATGTGAGTGTGTATAATTGCTGTGTTTAATTGCTGTGTTGGCACTTTGATGAAAAAAAGTTGTTTTGTATTGTGGTTCAGGCACTCAGGCTCAAAAATATTTGCCATCACTGCTCTAATGCACATTTCCAACCGTATAATAATGCTGTGTCACATTAAGTTGGTTTCACAAAAATGATAAATACTTCAATGTACTCCAACGGCCTTCACAGTCAACATACCTCAATCCAACAGAGCACCTATAGGATTTGAAGGAACAGGAAATTCACAGTATGAATATACAGCCAAAAAATCACATGCGACTGGCTTCAAGATTTATATATACTATTGTGCCCATACTATCATTACTTGACTATGAACCATGAGCATGTGTGTATGTTGATAATTAAAGAGTAAAAGTACATAATTGTAATATGTAGAGTAGTTGGCTTTTGCACCTACGAGTGAGCAGCTTCCTCATATTCTCTCTGTTTGCTCCTTCTGTTTGTGGAAGTATCAATGTAAAAAACACTTAAATTGATTCTTTCTCTCTTAATTGAATTGCAGGTGTTCTGTAGTCAAGGTTCCTGTTTCGTAATGTATTGAACAGACATATACATACAAGCATTTTTGCTTAATTTATAACATATATTTAGGAATTTGATGCAATGGTAGCACTTTTATATGTACAGGGAGTGCAGAATTATTAGGCAAATGAGTATTTTGACCACATCATCCTCTTTATGCATGTTGTCTTACTCCAAGCTGTATAGGCTCGAAAGCCTACTACCAATTAAGCATATTAGGTGATGTGCATCTCTGTAATGAGAAGGGGTGTGGTCTAATGACATCAACACCCTATATCAGGTGTGCATAATTATTAGGCAACTTCCTTTCCTTTGGCAAAATGGGTCAAAAGAAGGACTTGACAGGCTCAGAAAAGTCAAAAATAGTGAGATATCTTGCAGAGGGATGCAGCACTCTTAAAATTGCAAAGCTTCTGAAGCGTGATCATCGAACAATCAAGCGTTTCATTCAAAATAGTCAACAGGGTCGCAAGAAGCGTGTGGAAAAACCAAGGCGCAAAATAACTGCCCATGAACTGAGAAAAGTCAAGTGTGCAGCTGCCACGATGCCACTTGCCACCAGTTTGGCCATATTTCAGAGCTCCAACATCACTGGAGTGCCCAAAAGCACAAGGTGTGCAATACTCAGAGACATGGCCAAGGTAAGAAAGGCTGAAAGACGACCACCACTGAACAAGACACACAAGCTGAAACGTCAAGACTGGGCCAAGAAATATCTCAAGACTGATTTTTCTAAGGTTTTATGGACTGATGAAATGAGAGTGAGTCTTGATGGGCCAGATGGATGGGCCCGTGGCTGGATTGGTAAAGGGCAGAGAGCTCCAGTCCGACTCAGACGCCAGCAAGGTGGAGGTGGAGTACTGGTTTGGGCTGGTATCATCAAAGATGAGCTTGTGGGGCCTTTTCGGGTTGAGGATGGAGTCAAGCTCAACTCCCAGTCCTACTGCCAGTTCCTGGAAGACACCTTCTTCAAGCAGTGGTACAGGAAGAAGTCTGCATCCTTCAAGAAAAACATGATTTTCATGCAGGACAATGCTCCATCACACGCGTCCAAGTACTCCACAGCGTGGCTGGCAAGAAAGGGTATAAAAGAAGAAAATCTAATGACATGGCCTCCTTGTTCACCTGATCTGAACCCCATTGAGAACCTGTGGTCCATCATCAAATGTGAGATTTACAAGGAGGGAAAACAGTACACCTCTCTGAACAGTGTCTGGGAGGCTGTGGTTGCTGCTGCACGCAATGTTGATGGTGAACAGATCAAAACACTGACAGAATCCATGGATGGCAGGCTTTTGAGTGTCCTTGCAAAGAAAGGTGGCTATATTGGTCACTGATTTGTTTTTGTTTTGTTTTTGAATGTCAGAAATGTATATTTGTGAATGTTGAGATGTTATATTGGTTTCACTGGTAATAATAAATAATTGAAATGGGTATATATTTGTTTTTTGTTAAGTTGCCTAATAATTATGCACAGTAATAGTCACCTGCACACACAGATATCCCCCTAACATAGCTAAAACTAAAAACAAACTAAAAACTACTTCCAAAAATATTCAGCTTTGATATTAATGAGATTTTTGGGTTCATTGAGAACATGGTTGTTATTCAATAATAAAATTAATCCTCAAAAATACAACTTGCCTAATAATTCTGCACTCCCTGTAGATCCTTTTTATCACATAAAAGTGTATAAAAAGTTGCTACATGAAAATATCTGTCCGATTAGTTTTATTTCCCATTGACCATTGTACTTTGTAGATATCTCATCTTCATTACCCTTACCGTGATTCCAAAATTAAATTGGCTAAAGATTCTACAGCATAAAATTTTTAATTTCTTCTTATATTATGTTCCTGTAATTCCTTTAATTATCTTTCTAATCTTTTTTTTTTGCTGCTGGGGGGGCACCACGAGAGAGGAGGAGAGAGGGACTCAGTTTGTATTTCTAACACTACAGTGTTCCTTTAAGTTCTTCTTTAACAGCAGAACTGTATGGAAATGTATACAAGGGTTTTGTAACATTATATACAAATTAACTACAAAAACTGAGAATACATTAACCAAGGGGCAAAATTTTGAAAAGGTGAATCATCTTTTTTTGCTGTTCTATGCATATGCCAAAACATTACATCATTTAATTTGTTCAATGAGGGTCTCTTATACTTTATTTTATGGGGAGACGTTGGAGACATGGCTAGAAGCAGGGCATTAAAAGGGATAGTTAGGTGACTTTGTGACCTATTGATAGCTATTTATATAATTGGCTAAGTCGTTTGGATCGAGAACAAACAAAGTATCTTATTTACACAAACTATAAATGCATTTACTACAGTATAATCACACATTGTGAATTTTATTGCTGTAAATTGCTGTAATAGGTTTATACTTACCACACATTACGAGCTTCTAGTATAGGACGATAGGTTGTGGTCTCAGAGGGATCCTTGAGTATGACAGAATTATTTGTAGAATGTTTTCTATTCTTGATATGTATGGTGTTAATTTTATTCAGGTGACATCATTTATTTAACTCCTTAAAAACCAGTAATAGCCATAAAATCTGGTGTAAGAATCCGATTGTAAAAAGGAATTGCCAGTCATTTAAAAATGACCTGACTGTAGAGTACTACTAATGATAGAGAAGTTGGATATTCCAAGAATAAGAATGTAGGAACATGCAGGGTTCTATCAGTGGTTGATTAAGGGTTACATTTGGGAATGTTATTGAAAATTAGTTATGGTATTTGTTTAAACTGAAAATGCTTTAAACTAGTAAATCAAAGAAACATTTATTCCAGTAAGTGTTGCAGTCATGGTCGAAATGTTGTCTACTGCTCATGGTTTAAGTGTTGGGTTATATAGTAAAAAAAAAAAAGAAAAAAAAAAAGACAGCTGAACAAGACAGCTGAGAAACCATGCTAGATTTATTTGTTTTTAACATTTTCTGTGCATAATATTTGTAAATAATGCAGTCCATATATGATATATTGCTGCAAATGATTAGCCCCTCTCTGTTTACAGCTCACTCTAATTGCTATAAAACACCATTTGTCAGCTTCATGTTCTATTGACAATGCTATCGATTTATCTGATTTTGGCTTTGTCTTGCCTTTTGTACATAAAACTCACATATGCAGTTCAAATGGGAAATGGCTGCATTGATTTTCTTAACTTGAGCCCAAATGCTAAAGATTTTTGGATAAGCTTTCTCATTACTTAAGCCGAAATCAATAGGAGAGAGCATCTTTTAATGAAAGAGTCGTTTGAGCATCGAACTTCAGAAACGGGGTCCTGTTCATTCTTTGCTTCACAGATTGATCTTTTAAGATTCTTAAGTGAGGTCCACTTGGTTGACATTGCGGTTTCTCTTGATGTGTAAACTTGCAGATTCAGGGACGAGCCTTCGAGCTACAGAATGAACAAAAGGAAACTCTTACTCTGAAGCAGAAACAAGAAGGACTTCTTGCTGAGGTACCCAATTAATTATTGAAATTGATGATTTAAGGGTTGAGCTGCCAATTCTAAATGCTTTTCTTTAATTGCATTTCAATGTATTTTAAGTAGAGATAATATATCAACAGGAGTATATATATGCACGTGTACATGCATGAGAGCACACATGTTTCATTTGACACATGTTACATTCACAAGTAGCAGTTATTCACCTGGGAAGCCATAGTAATTAGCATTGGTGTCTTTGTGCTTTTGTACATAAAGTATAGAGTAATTAATTGGTTTACTGTGTGTGCGTTTTGCCTAATCTGTTAGTGTAACTAGGCTTCTTTCCAGCTACAGGCTCAGGAGCACACCATTTACCAGCTACGGAGTGAGGAGTGTAACCTGAAATCCCAGCTTAAGGACGGCAAAGCGAGACTTGAGCATCTGCAGAGCAAACTTGACATGTCAGACAAGTTATATGGCCGTGCCAAGCAGCAGGTACTGTACAAAGATATCATTAACTGCCCTGCGCTACATAAATTAAGCTGATTATGTCTTCACTTAATTAACTGAGAATGACCTATTGATGTATAGACAAGAAAGATAAAGACTGCAAGAGCACTGTACGAAATTTATTGGCTTCCAATTAGTTCTACGATTGACTTTAACACTTAAGAAGAATAGAACGCTTTGCGTTAATGCCGATTGCATGTGTGTACGTTAAAATGTATTTCTCTACTATAACATAAAATTAAAATATTTTCTCTCTGGTATGTATGGATGCCTTAAAACTACTATAATTCTATTATTATTATTATTATTAATATAATATAGCATCATTTTGTTTGCACTCCTATAAGCAAAAAGCTTTCTTTAGTGATTCTCCTGGCTTCTCCTCTCCTTTGGACAAAAGTCTGGCTTATTTATCCAAAAACTAGGCAGTAAGCTGTATATGATCACTAAATCTGACAACATGTTCAAGTGCTGAGTATCTGAAAAACATGATATGAAATAAGGATTACTATGTGCCAACTCTGCCTCTACCACTACAGGCTTCAGGAGATAGTATGGCAAGTTAAGTGTTGTGTCTGCGAATCTGCATGTATGTGCATCTGTGAGTGTGTCTGTATGTGTAATTGGTGTGATACCTTTGGGGCATTGTGGGGAAAATGCCAAAGGGGAGGTGTTGTGGGGCATGAACATCTTAACCCAGGGAGATGCATGGGATGTGGTGACAATGCATGGGTAGATGTTAGGGAGGGGTAGGTGGGGCAAGTGCACAAGTGTGAAGTGGGAGAAATGCACATGGAGGGGAGATTTGGAGGAGTTACACAGAGAGATATGGATTGATGCACTAGAAGTAGTGAGAAATGATTAGCTGGGAGATAAGAAGCAATTGCTTCACACAGTGGTGTTTTGGACTGCACTTTGTCATTGGATCAGCAGAATGTATGTGTGTATGTATATAGTTTTATAACATATTCTATCTATCTATCCCATTGTACAGCGCTACGGAATTTGCTTGCGCTTTGTAAATAATAAAAAAATAATAATACAATAATTATCTATCTATTCATTTTATATATATATATATATATATATATGTATATATATATATATATATATATATATATATATACAGCTCAACAAAATAAAGGGAACACTTAAACAACACAATGTAACTCCAAGTCAATCACACTTCTGTGAAATCAAACTGTCCACTTAGGAAGCAACACTGAGTGACAATCAATTTCACATGCTGTTGTGCAAATGGGATAGACAACAGGTGGAAATTGTACAGAACACTGGTGAGACCTCACTTGGAGTATTGTACACAGTACTGGAGACCGTATCTTCAGAAGGATATTGATACCTTAGAGAGGGTTCAGGGAAGGGCTACTAAACTGGTTCATGGATTGCGGGATAAAACTTACCAGGAAAGGTTAAAGGATCTTAACATGTATAGCTTGGAGGAAAGACGAGACAGGGGGGATATGATAGAAACATTTAAATATATAAAGGGAATCAACACAGTAAAGGAGGAGACTATATTTAATAGAAGAAAAACTACCACAACAAGAGGACATAGTCTTAAATTAGAGGGACAAAGGTTTAAAAATAATATCAGGAAGTATTACTTTACTGAGAGGGTAGTGGATGCATGGAATAGCCTTCCAGCTGAAGTGGTAGAGGTTAACACAGTAAAGGAGTTTAAGCATGCGTGGGATAGGCATAAGGCTATCCTAACTATAAGATAAGACTAGGGACTAATTAAAGTATTTAGAAAATTGGGCAGACTAGATGGGCCAAATGGTTCTTATCTGCCGTCACATTCTATGTTTCTATGTTTCTATGTTTCTAAATTATAGGCAAATAGCAAGACACTCCCAAAAGAGCAGTGGTTCTGCAGGTGGTGACCACAGATCACTTCTCAGTTCCTATGCTCCTGGCTGATGTTTTGGTCACTTTTGAATGCTGGTAGTTCTTCACTCTAGTGGTAGCATGAGACGGAGTCTACAACCCACACAAGTGGCTCATCCAGGATGGCACATCAATGCGAGCTGTGGCAAGAAGGTTTGCTGTATCTGTCAGCGTAGTGTCCAGAGCATGGAGGCGCTACCAGGAGACAGGCCAGTACATCAGGAGACATGGAGGAGGCTGTAGGAGGGCAACAACCCAGCAGCAGGAGCGCTACCTCCGCCTTTGTGCAAGGAGGAACAGGAGGAGCACTGCCAGAGCACTGCAAAATTACCTCCAGCAGGCCACAAATGTGCATGTGTCTGCTCAAACGGTCAGAAACAGGTTCAATAACGGTCGTATGAGGGCCCGACGTCCACAGGTGAGGGTTGTGCATACAGCCCAACACCGTGCAGGACATTTGGCATTTGCCAGAGAACACCAAGATTGGCAAATTTGCCACTGGCGCCCTGTACTCTTTACAGATAAAGGCAGGTTCACACTGAGCACATGTGACAGATGTGACTGAGTCTGGAGACGCTGTGAAGAACGTTCTGCTGCCTGCAACATCCTCCAACATGACCGGTTTGGCAGTGGGTCAGTAATGGTGAGGGGTGGCATTCCTTTGGGGGGCCGCACAGCCCTCTATGTGCTCGCCATAGGTAGCCTGACTGCCATTAGGTACCGAGATGAGATCCTCAGACCCCTTGTGAGACCATATGCTGGTGCGGTTGGCCATAGGTTCCTCCTAATGCAAGACAATGCTAGACCTCATGTGGCTGGAGTGTGTCAGCAGTTCCTGCAAGACAAAGGCATTGATGCTATGGACTGGCCCGCCCGTTCCCCAGACCTGAATCCAATTGAGCACATCTGGACAGCATGTCTCCATCCACCAACGTCACATTGCACCATAGACTGTCCAGGAGTAGGCAGATGCTTTAGTCCAGGTCTGGGAGGAGATCCCTCAGGAGACCATCTGCCACCTCATCAGGAGCATGCACAGGCGTTGTAGGGAGGTCATACAGGCAGGTGGAGGCCACACACACTACTGAGCCTCATTTTAAGTTGTTTTAAGGACATTTCATCAAACTTGGATCAGCCTGTAGTGTGTTTTTCCACTTTCATTTTGAGTGTGACTCCAAAAACAGACCTCCATCGGTTGAAAAATTTGATTTCCATTTTTTAATTTTTGTGTGATTTTGTTGTCCGCACATTCAACTATGTAAAGAACAAAGTATTTCAGAACAATATTTAATTCATTCAGATCTAGGATGTGTTATTTTTGTGTTCCCTTTATTTTTTTGAGCAGTGTATTTACATACATACTGTTAAGACACCGCCGTTTAGTCCGCCTTCCCCTGCTGCAGTACCAATAATCTCCGTTCGCATAACCGTAGTGCACGAACCAAACTCAGGGGAAGCGGCAATCTCCCGACCGGGATCAGTGAATGGCTCCAACCTCCCGAACGGAACTCCACGAATAGCTGCTAGCCGCCGAACAATAATATCCACCAAGCGGCTTTCGGTTCCATCCAGCAGTCTCTAAACACAAAGAAGAAATCCCCCTAATAACGAGACAGAAGCTCCGCATTGAGGGTCAAACAGGATCTGGCTTTACTGTGGGCTACCTGCCCGTATTTATGCAGGTCTCCCACTTGGTGGACACTCCCCTAGGGTAACAAATGGGAGACTTAAATGACAGACAGATATGGGGACATTCCAGACACACAGTCACAGTTTTTACCCACAATGCACTATGCTTCCCTCCCCTCTGCCCTGGAGATAATTACCAAGTAACTCAATTATCTCCAGGACAAAGCCAGTCGCCATCTTAAATATAAAATCAGAAAAGACATAAAAATACATAACTTCACAAAAACCGAACATTTCCCATTCGCATCACATATCCCCAGATAGCCTAGATCTGAGTGCATATTATTAGCGAATAGCACTCAGATCCCACACACATAGTTCAATCGCCATGGAGTCAAAGTTCTTACAGTCCTTCGGTATACGAATGACTCCATGGGAAGGCTATCTGGGTTAAGTCCTTTCGTATGCTTCAAACCTCCCGAACGGCCGGTATTCGTATGCTTTCGTGGAGGCAGCCAGGTGTTCCGTTGTTTCAGCGGTGTTTGGCAGAAAAAGTGTCCGTTTTTAGTTCCATAGAAATAGAGCCAAACACCGCTGGGCTTTCGCGTGGTTTAAAATGGCCGCTGCCTCGTGGTCGACATACGAACGACGACCACCCTGAATTTGTTTAATTGAGAAGTGTCTGCGGTTAACCACAATGTTCTAATTGGGATCAATAGGTTAACCAGCAGCACACTTCTCTCCTGGGTGGCCGTCCGTTCGGTAGGTTTGTTCGGGAAAAACAGTCATTCGTATGGCTGGGTTATAGGAACCAGCCATTTACACGAACAGGGAAAAATAGACAAATCCACCAGCAATAAACAGACAGATGGTTCTGTCACACATACATATATAGTTTTATATTATATATATACATGTATGTATGTGTGTGTGTATGTATACATGCACAAATATTTATATTTCTGTATTTAACAATCACAAAGTAATAATCATTTTCAATAATAGTAGGAAATTACAGACCAGATATAAACCATCAGCTGCTATTTAAATACAACACCCATTTTCTGCAATTTAGAACAGTGATTTTACTTTTATTCAAACAGGTTCTGCTTTAAGAACACTGCATGCACTTGCAGAAGCAATAATATTGTGGCCTCCAAGTCCCATTAATCTTTTCCATCTCACAGACTTTTATGTCAGTTTACCTTTTTTTTTCTACTTCCTTCTATACTCGCATCTTTCTGTTTCTAGCTAATGAATAAATAGGGCAAGCCTTGATTCTACTTGCTTAATATTAGTTATGTTTTTATGATATTACGAGAAGATGACAGAATTGCATTCTATATGGAGTGCAATGAAATTTTGTCTTTTGTAGATACACTATGCTTTACAGGGGCTGCAGGCGTGTGCATACAATGTCACATATGCCTGTGCCCAGTCATCTGCAGCTATCTTCTGTGGTCAGATTGTGATGGCTATTTATTGCTATTACAGTGAGAGAGCTTCATTATTTTATGCAATTAATACAGGGCCCTAGCTAGCGTAACTCTATATATTAGGTCTTAAATGAGTCGCTCAATGTAGGTTGCAATGAACATGGGCAGCCAGTGAGCTTGTATGATGGGTATAAATGTCATGAAGTACTTGTCTATTTTTTTGTTTTTGGTTCTAGGAAAACAATGTGTAATTCTGTAATCCTAAAAACAGTGTCCAACACTAGTCAAAACTAATACAGAATTTATAAAGATAGTCCTATATAAGATACTTAATTAAAAAAAACAAAAAAAATACAAAAATATAGTAAAAGCACTGCACATAAATGGAAATATACCTTTCAGATTGGCAATACATTTCAAATGGCTAAAGAACAAGAATAAATAGAGCTTAATACTGTTCAAGCAAGGGTCCAGAGTGGAGAGGTCCAGCAAAGTCAAAAGTACAATCCAATAAACCATAAAAGGAAAGGCCCATGGCTTCTTCTGGGTCCTGGCTCCCCTCACAATTATCGCTGGTGTTCACAAGCAGATAAAATAGCAGAAGAATGTTATAACAATCAGTAGCATGTTAGATAGGAATTTAGGTACTATAAAGAACTCACCGAGCTCAGTAAACAAATGGCAAATTTGGAGTAGGACCAGAGGAAAATCAATCAACACGTATAATAGACATGTAGGTAAAATAGCTACCTTTAGCGTGTTGACATGAGGCAACACATTTCATCCAACAAGACCATCACGCGCAGAGCCTCCCAGTGCTGGTTTAGTTATCTTGGTTTCACATTAATTGATACAAATGTATCAAGTTACAACTAAATAGCAAGATATACATACAAGAAACTACCTGGAGGAAAA